GCCATGTACCATCACCTCCTGCAAGACGAAGCTATTGTAAGAAATTCAAAACTGTTTACGCATTTGCAATAACTTATTACCAATGCACCACGAGACACCCCTGCTTTCAATCATGTTACCCAAAGCAAAATCTTCCATTGCACCGTTTCCTGCTACTAAAGAGTCGCCCATTGCTGCCACCACGTCAATATCACCAGGTCGAAGCTTGTGGACGCTGGTTGGGCGGGTTGGTGACCTTCCAAACCTTGCGGCATTTTGGCACGGGAAAGAAAAAGATTCGGGGAATTCCCTTTGCTTTCTTACGCTACTGTAAAGATTAGAAATTATTTAATAAAAAAAATGTTTTTATACAAGAAGGAGTATTTAAACCATACGAAATTGTTATTATTACTTTAAGTGAGAAATATACATATAGAAATATTCCTAAGAAGTCAAAGTAATAGTTATAAATTGAAAGAGATCGTTAAAAATGGATTTATAAATCAGACTAGAGATGTTAACGAATTGATTCGTAAAAAATCCAAATTAAGTCTTGATATTCTACAGCCCATTTAGAATAATGTACCTTATCAGCTGTGTGTTACTTGAAAAATTCCAAATTTTGTAATTCTTTGTATCAAAATGAATAAAAATTTTATTTTGGTTCACTATCTTTGGAGACGATATGGGATCAAATGTCATCGACATTATTGTAATTATCCACTATTTATTTAATGTTGGCGTTACTATTTATATATAGGATTCAGGATATTGCTGAATGGTTTTGAGTATGTAGTATTTTTTAAGTATTAGTTGAGATACTTGGCATTTAAGTTGAGGTTCATTGTCATTCTTTTTTAAGATTTTTCAACTTGAACGATTGCGGTAATAGACATTTGAAAGTAAAAAAAATGTATAATGATTAAAGTCTGTTTCGTTTTTTGACTCCACTTAGGAACTCAGTTTGCGATTTGCGTCACAGATTCAACTTTTTTATCATTGGGGAAGTCGACAATTTAATCAAATATGAAATAAAAAACGTTACATAATAAATGGCGGTAATTAAGAATATTTTCGGCTGTCTTTTAATTAATCTCTTCATGTACAAAACGTTTACTTAATTTTGACAGTTAATCCTAATGTTTTCTAAATGAAAAATGTAATAAAATACTGAACCATTTGACTAAGTTTTTATAAGTTTTGATGTATTCGTTTTCCAAATCGAAGAAAATGTTGGAATTTATTGTAATTTCTGATATTTCCGAAACTGTAACCCGTAACATTTCTCATATTACGCGTTTTAATAATATAATATATGAGGAGTCTATAACTGATTATATCACACATAAATAAATAATTTATAGTCTTGTAATATTTATAGCTCTTCTACTGAAAATAGATTCGCATTTGATTGCAAATGAAACTGTTGTATAATTTGATATAGAAAAATTAAATTGTGGCCCCAAACAATTTTCCTATCGTTTAGTTTACTTTTCGATTGCTTACTAATTATAAATTAACGACTGATTATGTTTGTAAATAAAGAAATCGATGTTGTTAAAAACTAAAGTGACTTTTGAACATTTATTTAATTTCGTATGGCTTATCGGTGCTCTTCTTTTTGAGGTCAACAGTGTTAAACATTCATGGACTACGCCGACAAACCACTTATCACAGTTTAATTTTTATTTGACGCAGTGATTAATGAAGAGCTACACGCTTAAAACACAGAACTTTTTTGCTCTCGTCTGTCTTATGTGGTAACTTAAATAATTAATGACAGTTTTAGTAGTATTACAATAAAAATTTGACTTTTCAGTGTTAATTTGTCATTTAAACTGCTTTAATATTCTAATTAAAAATAAAAAAAAACTGTACATGTAGCAAAGTTACATCATCGTCATTATCGCAAGGTCATCAGTCCAAAGACTGATCGAACACGCGTCTCATTTTGCGGTAATCTTAGCATTTCCCGAAAACTAGAAGAAACCCTATACCCCTAACTATTTGTTGAAGTTGAAGTTGAATTTTAAAACTATTAAGTACGGTTTTCCATGATTGATAAAATGATTGATAAAATTGTTAATTAATAGCTTAAAATAATTATTAGCTTTAAATAAAATGGAAGCGGTATTGACAAAACAGTATTGTATGAAAATAAATAAAATTAAAACAAAAATACTGGCATGCAAGGGAAGAAAACGTAGGGAAAGATTAGAAGAAGTGGCTGATTTTAGGTATCTAGGAAGTCAGATAAGTATGTTTGGAACGCGGCGCTGTACTTGTGCGAAACATGGACGGTGGACCTTGCGGAAAAGAAAGGGTTGGAAGCGTTTGAAATGTTGAGGATACTGTGGATAGAGAGGGTAAGAAATGAAGAGGCATTATTATGAATAGGAGAACAGAGGACTCTATGGAAGTCAATAAAAAATAGGCGGGATAAGTTGGCAAGACACCAAACTGGAGTTAAAAGGGGTAGAGCTAGATCTAGATTAGATTACTGTTCGCAAATAGTTAACGATGTGGGATGTTCTAGTTTTAGGGAAATGCGAAATTTAGCTCAGGATAGGAAGGAGTGGAGGTACGTGTCCAACCAGTCTTAGGACTGACGACCTTATGATGATGATGACGAGCAATCTTTTTTCGTATCTACAACAAGAGGTTTCTTGTACATTGTAGAGAATAATACAACGGAAAGTTGCGAATTTCTCAAAAATTTAGTTATATGGATTAGTTTAACGCAATTTTCTGTAAAGGAATGAAAATAAATAATTTTAATGTTACCTAATGCGTGCCCTTTCTGTGAAAAATGAAAACAATCATATGTAATGTATGATATGTCAATGGCTTCTCTTTGTCGAAGAATGTGATTCCTGGGCGTATTAAAATATTTAATAAACGGTTGGATTATTACGGTAAAGTCTTCTTTTTGGTCATAGCGTCCGCTTGAGATCTAAAAATAGACACGTGGTCATAAGTTGTTATTAAGCAATGATTTTTCAAGTAATTTCTTGATTTATTACCAGAATTTCTTCCGCTTGTTGATACTTTCTCGTCATCTCCGAAAGTTCATCAACAGGGTCGCCTTTAGTTTTTCGATAACAGGTGCAGTAAAGCGAGTGCATTAGACGGCACATCAATGATCTCTTAAGCCTAACGCTAACGGTAACATCTAGCACGTAAAAGGGAAATCGTAAATTTTGACATTATTGCGTACTTATTGGTAGAGATTAAAAGCTACTTGCCTATTACGGGAATTAAATTTACAAATGTCCTAGGTAAATGGCGTTGTAAATAGTCCAATGCTTTACTCAGTTTTACCGCATGGTTGTACGGTGACCCCTTTTGGGCGTCAAAACATTGGGCCGAACACAAATCGTTAGCACCGAAGAAAACCGTAATCATTTTCCAATCATTGTTTATATCGATTTTATGATTTTTCCGTATCCTGTCTACCAAGATGTGCGCTTGCTTTAATGCGTCTGCATCAGCAGCAACAGGGAATCCTATGTTCAACCCTGAGTTAGGGGCGGTGAATTCCCCAATTCCCGTCGAATAGCCCGTTAGATTAGGGTTGAATTCTTTCAAAATGTTTGGCAGGGTGACGAATTGACGCCATGTACCATCACCTCCTGCAAGACGAAGCTATTGTAAGAAATTCAAAACTGTTTACGCATTTGCAATAACTTATTACCAATGCACCACGAGACACCCCTGCTTTCAATCATGTTACCCAAAGCAAAATCTTCCATTGCACCGTTTCCTGCTACTAAAGAGTCGCCCATTGCTGCCACCACGTCAATATCACCAGGTCGAAGCTTGTGGACGCTGGTTGGGCGGGTTGGTGACCTTCCAAACCTTGCGGCATTTTGGCACGGGAAAGAAAAAGATTCGGGGAATTCCCTTTGCTTTCTTACGCTACTGTTTGAGTATTGTAGAAATAATCGTTTTCGGGCTTCCTGAAAAATAAAACATAAACTGTTTTTCGCGTCGGTTTGAAGGCAGTATTTATTTTCAAAGTATTCGCTTCGTATTCATGTTTGTACATGTATAATAATTTATTTTTGGAATTGAAGCGGGTCATATGAAGTTATCAAATGGGTCACTCGGTGCCCCGCGGGTCATAGGTTGTCGGTGCCTTCTCCGGTGACTATTGATTTAAATTATATTCTTGGGAAACTTTTAATCTAATAAAATTAATTATTATCAAAGAACTAATTTTTCGAAATTTAAATAGTTATGAGTATCTATTAAAAGTAGCTTCCTTTTTCTCAATTGCAGTAGATTATTGTTGAAGAGCGGACGTAATGTCGCGTAGCGTCGGGGAAATCGTAAATAAATAGTTTTTAGGCAGTGAAAATACGTAATTAATTTATTCAGAATATACATATGTATTTATTTTTGTTGGAGGGAGGTGCCAGCACGTACACACTCAGCTTTCGTTGTTTCATTCAGAATTACAATTAATTGTAAGCATCATATAGGTAGTAAAATGGAAAGTTATAAATAGGACCGGCCAAAACTTATCATTAGCCTTTGACACTGGATTAATAAACAAACGCATGCGAGGGGTTTTTAGTAGTAGAGGCATCTTCTTTTAAATGATAATTATTAATTTATTTATTCATAACATTACCTGTAAAGTAATTTCAATCAAATCTTCGTAGGTTTTGTAGTTCGTCCGTTGCAAATTGGCCCATTGTAGCGACACGACAAAACAAACAAGTACAAATCTCTTCAACTTTAGCATGCTCTCTCTTTTTTTCTAAGTAATTATGTCCTAAAAAATAATTGAATTAATAATTTGCATCTTTAATTTATTATTTTTAAATCCGTTTGTTTTTTAAATTTTCAATTTTGATTTATCCTGTTGGTTAAGAAAAACCCGTCACAGAAAATGCTCTATAAATACAATTAAATATATAGTCAATCAGGTTTTCTATTGGCAACGTACGATGTAGAGTTAAAGATACAGATAATTGAAGGGAAATAATTGTTTATGTTTCTTTTCAACATAATTTATTCGAATGGAGATAGTGGAGTTGTTGCAGAATTCAGTCGGATAAGGCTATATACGTATATACCTTTGGTACAATAGTAAAAATCAAAAGGGTTACGAGGTCACAAGTAGCTATCTCCTGTTGCAAAAGAAAAAGTTTATTTTTTTAAGTACGAATGAACACAGTGAAGAAAACAAAACGTTTTTTAAAAAGGATTCGATAAAACATTTATTTCGTTGCTCGATTTTCATTTATTAATTACTAAATTTCTTNCTTCCGGCTCATTTTCTCCCTGTTGGAATAGAATCACCGTGTGTATTACCTACTATGTAAACACTGCGCCCTAAAACATTATTCGGACTGACGTTCAAAGTTTTTCTATTTGATAGAAGTGGGTACATTATTACGTAGAGTACACATGGGTACAGTTGTGTATCATTAAGTGGGGACCTTTGGGGCCACGTTTGTAACAGACGTGAGACGCATACATTAAAATAAAAAATGCAAGTTACACCATGGCCTTAGAAAGGGTCGTCGCCAGGACAAAACGGAAAGAATTATTATTGCGTACAAACTGTGTAAAGTGCGGTGAAAGATTTGTTTACTTCTACTTTCTTTCGACAGGTTGAGAATATTTAGGGATCTAGAAGTATTTTGTAATAAGTAGTTATGTTTTTTATGTACCAATCGGTAGCATGTACAGAATGCAGATTTTAAAAAAAGTCTGTCGTACTAAAAAGCTTTAAACGTAAATATTTAATAGATTTTTGCTTGAGTGTAAGTATTTCTTTAAAATGACCACTAAAGTTTGTTATTACTTAAACAGAATCGTAGTCTATTGTTTGTTGCTACATCAGCCAAGACAACGTTAATTTTACAACAATGTTTTGTACTAATGTGGTAATTTTACCTCTTTTGCCAGTTTTGCTCGAGTCTTACATTAACTCGGCAGAAGTTAAAATTATGATGTAAATACGTGTCCTATGACTTCCATTTTAATTACGTAACATTCAAATTACATAGCAACTCCGATTAAAATTAATTATGATAAACTTTCCATGTTGTTAATACAGCAGCGAAACATGAAAAACACATGTCATGTTTTTAGTTTAAAGGATCATACGGAACATTAAACTTTACCTAATGTTTATGCATTTAAAAAAATTTAACTCGTTCTGCTCATTAACTTAATTACAATGGTTGCAAACAGTTCTAACACCTTAAAATATTTTATAATTATTTGTTCTTGTTCATCATTATTACAACTAATACATATTATTTTGGCGTAAACCCGAAATGCAGCCTGCAACTTTCTTTCGTAATGTTCTTTAGTTAATAAACACTCGGTATGATGCATACTGATGAACTTCTGTTAAAATTGTGTTTGCATTTTGCTCGGTTTTAATTGTCCCAAACCAAACATACCGCTATGACTGTCTAGCCATTGTTTCTTTCTTGCACAATGTTTTCCAAAAGCCAAAACGTTTCTCGTGTTCGTTTCTTTTTATCAGTAATAAAAATAAAACGCAAACCAGCTAAAGAGCTTTTATAATGAATCTATACCCATTAAATAACTAAGTTTATAGTTTGAAGCCCGGTTGAATTAGAAATTAGAATGTATTTATTCCACTGAAGTAATTTTAGTGAATACCAAATGAACGAACGACAAACTTGCCCTCTTTAAATTGCAATAACTTGCTCAAAACATTGCGTAAAAGAATTTTGCACCCACCATAAGAAAGAGCTTTGATAGTAGAACAATTTTTGTCTGAAAGAAATTTTTGTAGCTACTTTAGTTTTAGCGTAATACTAGAAAATACGCGGAGACTCCAACGTGCGGTCAAGTGACGAACCCGGCGTTTTTAAAATTCGGATATACAGTTCTAACGTCAGTGTTCGCCTATGGTAGTTGCGTTTTCTAAGGATAGTTAAGGAATAAAAGGACTACCATTTGAAGCAGTTTTTGATGTTTTTTCACCGTAAATGTTTATTTAATAACAATTATCAGTTTCAATGTATTTTAAGTTTGGTAGTTCTTTTTATATATAGATCGAAACGGTGTTATTGTTTAAAAAAATATAAGAAAACATAGTTTGGGTTTTGTTATACTGAACCAACACATATATAGTGATTTCTGGTGTTAATAAAAAAGTTATAGAAACTGCTAGGTAGAGACGAAAGTGCGCAACACATTTTACACAAACGTACATGTCACAAACAAAACAGTTTAGTTAATTAATTATTCAAAATTATAAATGTAAATATGATGCTAAAGTTGAATGTTGAAAATTTACAGGTAATTATATGAATTAATTAAATAATTTAAATCGGTACCAGTTTCAGTTATGTAGATATTTCGCTGTTACGTCTGGTAAAAAGAAAAGGATTTTTGGCAGTAGGACATTTAAAATTGCTGAAAAGATTTGTTTCTCTTGTACTCTTCTTACCAACAGGTTCTAATAAATTATTCCATAAGCTATTAGCAGCTAAAAAAATATTTCAAGGAATAGCTTGCGATTTACAACACATTTTACCTTGAGCTGTTCCCTTTTGACTTGGATGGAAGCAATCTACAGACATGTGACTTAAATCTGGAACAATATAATTTAATGTAAAGGGTTGTAGTACAACAGAAAAATCATCTGTGTCGAATTCGTCCATGTCAACTACTTCCTGTTCAACTTTTTGCCATTTTCTCATAATATCTGTAAACATGGGTTGATAGTTTTGGTACCCCAACCCAAATATACACGGGCATTCTGCGCTATGAGTTATATAACAAATGGGTGGTTTGTTTGGGATATTTGCAATTATTTCAATACCTAAAATAAGCTTTGATTACTAAAACAAGATAGAAGAAAATGTTCATCGGAAATTTAAAATTTACTTACTCGGGGCATTTATAACATTGACAAGAGTTCTTGGTAAATTATCTCGCAATATCCTTAGAGCTTCTATTAGATTATTTCTATGTTTATCTACAATAGATTCTGGATTACTTCTGAAGCACATATCCCAACAGAAATCGTTTCCGCCAATAAAATACGTAATCATCTGAAATTATGACATGCAAAAACGTGTTTTTTTTTTAATTGAGATACTCTGTTATTATAAATAAACCTTCCAATCAAGTTTGATGTTAACTTTGGGGTCTAGTTTGATCCTATTGGCTAACATTTGTGCCATATACGGAGTGTTGTCTGACACAGCGCCACCTTCGGCTACGTTAAGATTTGATTCCTTTTCAAAAGTATAGGAATTTCCAGTAGAAAATCCTTGCAGATTTGGATTAAATTCCTTCAATATGTTCGGCAAAGTGAGATAATTCCTCCAAGTTTTGTCCCCACCTAATTAATAGAATACCTGACAAGGACTAGAAGTTTTGGCTTTAATTAATTAATACCCCCGCTAAAAGATAAACCCCTATTCTCAAACAAAACTGAAACTAAGTTTGTAGCCAATAATCCGAATCCTGCAGTCAAACTGTCTCCCATTGCTCCAATGACATCGATATCACCAGGTCGTAGTTTATTTACGTTTGTTGGTCTTTCAGGACTTCTTGTGTTGTTCAATGGACATGAAAACGGGACGGTTTCGTCTATTTGTGGCTGAATTTTCTAAGAAACGGTAATTTATCGCTATTTTGAAATTATTAGCTCTCCTCAGCACGTGGGAATTTTAAAAATGTTAGATGACTTACATTTTCTGATTGAGCTTTCGGAATATCAAACAACCATGTGCGAAATGTTGAACGAGTCCAAAATCGGGAAAACCTAACGAATGGAGTAAAAGTATCATAAACCGAACGTTCGATATTTAATTGAAGACTATTTTGAATAAGAAGGGTCATAATTAGAAGCTCTAAAACACCCATAGCAAACTGAAAACGCTATAAAACGTCTTAGATTATTATTACTAATTAGTAAACATTTAGTACACACTAACGTAAGTTTCAATAAACATAAAACCAATCCAGATTTTTTCCGTTAAACTGTTGATATTTTTTCATTTTTCATATTTATAGCATAGGCGAAGGCCAAAGTTGCACTTTATTTTGAAAATTAGTTAGTTAATTATACACTAGGTATAAATTTATTTCTGCATAATTTACAAATCGTCGTTTCATAGGCTGGCTCTTTCGAGGCAATGTTTAAATGACAATTATTTTTAAATTAAATTAAATTATAGCTATGTACGTGTGGATCAATTTGTATGATGAAGCGAAAACAAGGAATTTGATTTTACCACTGTTTCAAGGCAATTACTGTAGAAAAATATGAAATATCTGTTTATAATCTACTGGAATACTGGCTACAGTTGAGACGTTTAAAATTGGCATAGTTCGCAATAAATTATATTTGAGAATGGACGTATCTTCTTTCTTGTTTCTACTTGGGACTGTAGTCATTTGCTGTGTTTTAAATTCGTTCTTGTTAAGTTAGGTTAGTAGTAGACACAAAGTGAAAAGAGATAACCGAATAATAGTAAGCGGTACAATTGTTAGAGGTTGTTTAGGTTAGGTTAAGTTTTTTTAAAGTCCGATGCTGGCAACGTGCTAAAATTATTCTTGTCTGCTTCTGTTTCTATTACATATCAATTGGTGTAATATTATTCCTTTTTATTTATTTGTGTCCGCTGCAATTATTAACTGACATCTCTTTTCTATGTTTACGATATACCCTCTGTTGTGAGTAAAAGTAGTAGTAGCAAGTTGAAAGAAGAGAACAATAACGACAATTTTATTGCAAACTATACCAATTTTAAACATCCCAACTATATCTGTCTAATAGATCATATTTAAAGTAGGTGAATTAAGAAAACATTTCTTTAATAACGTTATTATTATTTAATAATTATGTAATTGAATTGCGAGTTTGCTGTTTCTTCTTGTGAATAAAAACGGATTTTCAGCACTCGGGCAAAGGAATCTTTCAAACAGTCTTGTTTCGTTGGTTCTCTTTTTTCCGACCGGTTCAAGTAAATTATTCCATAAATTATTAGCAGCTAGAAAGAAAAACAAAAATGAATAGCAGTTTTTAGACTATTAATAGCTTGACGTTAGTCGTAAACAAAAATAAAAGAATGTCAGTATTACTTCTTGCTGCTCCCTTTTGGCTTTGATGAAAACAATCCTCTGACAATTCGGTTAAATCTGTTTCGCCTTCCTCATTCTTCGGAAGCGAGGCATCAATTACAAAGGGTTGGTATACAACTGTGAAGTCTTCGGTGTCAAACTCATCCAAATTGACTATTTCTTCGTCGAGTTTTTGCCATTTTCGAATAATATTTGCAAATTTCTTCTGGGACGCCCTATGGGCCAATCCATGTACGCATGGGCATTCTACACTATGGGTTATGACGCATATGCTGGGAGTATAAGTGAATTTTAACACTGCCACATCTAAAAGTATACAGATAAAAATCAGTAGCATACAGCAATGTTTCGCTTGATGTGTAAAACTTATCAATTTGTGTTAGACTAATTTCAGTCTATGCGGCGATGTGGATATTGCTGTGGTGGCAATCGATGATAAACAAATGCCGACGCTTGGTCGGCGGGCCGGTCAGGGGCATAAATCACACACCGAATGAATTATATGTATATGGCCGTATAACAAAAAATTTTCGAGAACTTTTCAAAAGAGTGACGAAGTATAAAGTGAACAAAGTGATATAAATACAGTACCAGATTAATAGGCGTTTATTTAAATAATTTTGTACCAAATATGTGAAATAGTTACATTACGAGGTTAGATGTCACACATCATTGGAGACTACTACGAGGCTCTCTTCTGGTTAATACATAATAATTATACTTACTAACAGGGGGCAAAATATTGACGAATGTTCTTGGCAAATTATCACGTAGAGTTCGTAGGACTTCTAATAAATCTTGTTTGTGCTTGTTTAAGACCGATTGAAAATTCCTTTTGTAGCATAATTCTGAACAGAAATCGTTATCTCCGATCAATAGAGTTATCATCTGTAATTAAATTAGAACTGACATTAATTTAATGGCAGTAGGTATTATAGGCTGGTCAGAATTTTGTCGGCGTGCTGATGGAAACCAAAAAGTTTCAACAGAATACTGACCGAGAACTTTTGTTCTAGTCATAAGGAATAAAAGAGTAAAATAAGCTATTACCTTCCAGTCTTGTTGTAAATTTATATTACGATCCCTTTTTATCCTTTCGACTAATACCTTCGCCATGTATGGCATATTGTCAGATATGGCAGACCCTTCCGCAACATTAAGCCTTGATCCTGCTTCAGTCGACAGATAAGCCCCCAAGGCGTATCCATACAAATTGGGATTGAATTCTTTCAGGATATTGGGTAGTGTCAGAAAGTTCCTCCATGTGCCTTGACCCCCTATAGAATCATATTTTGGTTTTAAAAAAATTCCTGCGGGTTTCTCCAAGGGTACATTTCTACTTTTCTTGTTTTAAGATATTATTGCTACATACGTATACCTGAGGTAGAAATCGATACAGTGGCACGTTTGTAAAATTGTTATTTGGAAATGATCAGTAAAATTTTATGAATTGATAAACAAAGTTTTAGAATCTAATAGAAAACAGTCACAGTAAATTAATGATAGGTGATATAAATATTGCGAAAATGTATAATAATAATCAAACACAGTTAAAGGGTAAAGAATATTATATATTTTATCTTTTAACTAATTTTGATTTTTATGGTAACTTTTGTGATGTAAATAAATAAGAAATCAAATCATTTTACCCCCACTAAATGACATCCCCCTATTCTCTATCAGGAGTGAAAGCAAATTTGTAGCTGTTAAACCAAATCCTGCAGTTAAGCTGTCTCCCATTGCCCCTATTACGTCAATATCTCCAGGCCGAAGGGCATGGACACTTACAGGTCTTTTTTGACTTCGGGTATTATTCAAAGGGCATGGAAATGGAACCGAGTGGTCAATTTGTTTCTGAAATTTCTGTTCAAATAATTACAGTCAGTTAAAAAATGTAATATCGTTTCTAAAAGAACCAAATTACCAATCCTAATTAAACATGAATTCGCACATTTTCGAATATTACGAAAAATGTTCCAAAATATACCCGTTATGCAAATGTTGTTCGGTGTCAATTGTTGTTGAACTTTGCTTATCCTATTTATCAACTTTTTATCTACGTTTATTTAAGTTTCCAACGGTGCGTCTATCAAGATTGGCGATAATTTATAAATTTTTTGCCAACAGTAATTCTTCATTCGAAATAATCTCTTTTTTTATTCTCATTCAACACCTTTGATTCGTGTTTTGTTTTTAATAACGCTATAGAATGACGTAACCATTTTTTTGTTCTTGACGCTCTTTTCTTAGTCATCTGACAAATTTTGAGAAAACTTTTTGTTTTGTTTTTGAAAAACGAATCTCGTATAGTCACAAATTACTTCATTTGTTTCATTGTAGTCGACGTTTTAGCATTTTGACGCTTTACTTCAACCACCAGGGGTTTCAACCCCTAGGTTTTGTGCTCTGTATTAGATATTTTATATAAAATTATGGTTACTTACACCTTGTGCTAATACCATCCTTGCACTTCTTCCAGAATTGAAAGGTGTTCCTAATGATAACATTAGTGATTTTTTAAACTGTCTCCACAACGGTGTAAGTTGATCGACAGGACCTCTCTCCAGAGGACTCTGTGTAGTTTTATGGAAAACCATGGCGAAAATTACCACTAAGCCCGTAACATTTAGTTTCTGATTTATTACAAAATTCATATTGAATTTCTTTAAATGCAAAAAAAAAAACGAAGGCGGCACTTATTCCTGTTTCATTTGTTTTTTGTTAGAAGGCGATTAAAAATTATAGAAAATGACTTCACGGAAAAACGCAACTGCTATTAAAAACAAACGAAATAATTTGCGGATGTAGCAGTAGGAAGCGCGATATCGCAAACGCGAGAAACAACGCAATGTTTTGAATGATCCTTCATCTCGTTATAAGTAACCATGCCGATGATGATTCAATAATCCCGGAGCTATTTTTTGGAGGACGAATTTCAGCTTCAATTTGTAATAAAACTTTATCATTAGAATTTAAATATTTATTAGTTCTTAAACTTTAAGGTTGTCAAAGGTTCATTGTGTGATCTGTCATTGGTGTCTTCATTATAGTACCTGCACTGGAGCATTCGAAATAAAGTTTTCATTAACGTAATTGCTTAAAAGAATAAAACTAAGAATGTATAAAGGGTAAAAGTTTATTCGATAATAAATACTGCGTCTTAAAGGTTACGTAGATTTTGTATTATTAGCTAATAAAATAAATTATCCGTTTGCACTAATGAAAGGGTCTTTCCTATATATAAGATTATCACAGACTAAATCGATTATATCTAATTAGAGACAATGTTAAATCATAAATCTTCAATTTATTGGCAGAAAAGTTGTCATAACTTGCTATTCCTTCTTGTAAAGAGATAAAGGTGGTTTGCCGTAGGGCAACGGAATTTTTTAAAAAGCATTGTCCCATGAACGTCCTTTCTTCCCACAGGTTCCATTATATTATTCCATAAGCTGTTAGCCGCTAGAAAGTGAAAAGAAATATAAAGTTTAATTAAAGATAGGAATTTGCTACTTAAGTGAGATTCAAAATGTTTATTACGATCTAAGGCGTGCTGATGGAATTCAAACTATTCTAAATCGCGATAAGCGTCAGACAATTAAAAAAATGAAGTAAATCATATAGATATCTAGCAGCGAAACCCGGCGTTACTCGGGTTATTATACATCGCGTGTTTAATGATATCTAGAACTTTCTGGAACATTCCATATCGATTTTAACAGTTGCACACAATTTGGAACATTCTAGATCATTCCAGAAACTATTAGAACCTTCTAGAATATTCTAGATCGATTGTAACAGTTGTACAGATTCTTTCCAAAAGGTCTCATAAGTAAGAAAAGGACAGATATATATTTTTTCACATTTTCGCCACCTACAACCACCCACTTCCACCCACCGTGACCAAACCCCCTTACTTTCAGCAGGAGACCAAGGGGTATTTACCACCCCAACGGGAAGTTGATAGGAGTTGGTGGTGACAGAGAAAACCCTGTCTTTACATACGCACATTAGCCTTTTATATATATATATATGAAACGTAAATTGAGATGTAAGCTTTCCTATCTTTCAAGTTGGATCAAACTGCACACAGTGTACAAATTTGATTAAAATCGGTTTAGAGTAGTTTGGGAGTCCATCGCGGACAAACAACGTGACACGTAATTTATATATATTAAGATAAAAAAAGTATCACCTTGAGCATTCCCTTTTTGACTCAAGTGGAAGCAGTCTTCGGAAAGGAAACTCAGATCGGTTTTTCCCTCTTTGGTTTTTGGTACTGCATATTCTTCTGTGAAAGGTTGATACACCACTGTAAAATCATCAGTGTCGAATTCATCCATGTTAACTACATCTTCTTCGATTTTCTGCCATTTTCGGATAATCTGTCCAAATCGCTTCTGATATTTCGTGTAAGAGAGTCCAAAAATACAAGGACACTCTACGCTATGGGTGACGTAGCACTGGGGTGGTTTGTGGGTGAATCGTGATATTATTTCTAAGTCTAAAAGGTACAAATCAAAACAGAATAGTTTACTATTACTTTTTTATTACTTGGAGGCGGCACTAAGTTGACGAAAGTGCGAGGTAAATTGTCCCGAAGTATCCTTAACACGTCGATTACGTCTTCCTTATGGTCTTCCAGGATCGATTCTGGTTTCTCTCTGTAGCACATTTCCGTACAAAAGTCGTTTGCTCCAATCGAAAACGTTATCATCTAAAACTACGAATTATAAGAAGAACAAAAATTCTAGACATGTGGCAAGTATTACCTTCCAATCATTCTTTAAGTCTACCTTTGGATCCATCTTGATTCTGTTCACCAAAACTTTCGCCATGTACGGCATGTTGTCGGAAATCGCTGCTCCTTCGGCAACATTAAATCGGGACTCTTTATCAATTGTGAAGTAATCCCCAAGGGCATAGCCGTGTAACTTTGGATTAAATACTTTTAATATGTTTGGCAATGTAAGAAAGTTTCTCCATGAGCCTTGTCCTCCTGAAAGAAATTGTTGGTTTCTTGTTTTGTTTTGTAGAATAAAAAAACAGTACAAGTTTTACCGCTGCTAAAAGCAATACCCCTGTTCTCCACAAAGACCGTTGCGAGACTTGTAGCAGTCAAACCAAATCCTGCAGTTAAACTGTCTCCTATCCCCCCTATTACGTCAATATCGCCGGGACGGAGAGCATGGACGCTTGAGGGTCTCTTTTCACTTCGGGCGTTGTTTAAAGAACATGGAAAATTAATCGTACCGTCCATTTGTTTTTGAAGTTTCTATAAAATATTTCTGATACATATATATGTGTAGCCACTCTCTGTAGTCGTATATGATGAGAGATGTGACTATCAAAGTTGTGGTTCTGAGAAGAACCGATTTAGTAATACCGTTGGACACATTATCTGCATCTTTGATGATCCCAAGGGTTGACACTTTATCAGCATCAGAATAAGAGTGAGCCTGGTGTTAGACTAATTTTATTGAAATATTTACAGGCTATTTATACTAAATTATTTACATGGTTTTATATGGTGAGGAACATTTCAGCACAATACATTTGTGTGTGTATTTGCTGTTGACCCAGTTAGTCGCAGTGTGTCGCGACCTAACTAAGTCAGCACAAATGTAGACGCTTGATTGATACACACAATAAATATTTTTCGCTATACCGAGTGTTCCCACATATGTAAGCTTCTCAGGCATGAAGCGCTGGTTAGATGCGTATTGGAGGCAAAAACAGGAGTTAAGAGGAGTAGAGATAGACCTACCTAGATTAGATTACTTTTCGTAATGTGGGATGTTCTAGTTTTAGGGAAATGCGAAGATTAACTAAGGATAGAAAAGGGTGGAGGTGCGAGTCCAACCAGTCTAAGGACTGACGACCTTATGGTCTAAATGTATTTCTCAAGGAGTTTGGTTTTGTAGTTTACGTTAATAACGTTTATATTTTTCATTATTTGTTATTTAATGGAAAATAATAAAAATACTTGCTACATTTATTTGACCTTCATCGACTTTTGTCAGTTTTAACCAATCACTGTTGTTTTCCACACTTAAATAATTAGCCCAATTGAACCATGTAACTTAATGCATTTAGGCATCGTGTTGTGTCATTGTCAACAAAGTCCTTCGATCTCTATCTCGTTCTCCTTGATGGTTCCAAATATTTACGAATATAATAATCTAAAGATTCTTATAATTTCTCATTAGGTGGATAATCCTGCAGAATTAATTGGCAAGACACCCAAAGCTGCACAGCATTTACAAGTCCTACGAACTTCTTCGTTGTTTTTGTAGTCGGCAGATAGTTCTAAGCTTTGATTTTGATTTGACTAACAGAGGCCAAACATATTCAAACTATTTTTATAATTTTACATTAAATAACAAATATTAAAAAATCAGTCGCATGTCCGAAACCATAAGTTTAACAGTGTTAGTTTTTTTTGGGTAATTTCGAGTTCAAAAAGCCTTACATTTCGTGAACGGACTGTTTGAAGACTTCTTGCTGTATGAGTCGGTCTTCCCATAACTGCTATGAATAGTTTTCGGATCTGTCTCAAAAGTGGCGTATATTCATCAAAAGCGGTTCTCTCTAACGTACGCTGATGACTCGCGCTAAACGTGGTAACGAAGATCGTTATTGTAATCATCGCTGTTATAGGAAATCTCATGGCATCGGGCATTATAGGGATCCTGAAATACAATAAAATGTCCTTGTTTAGACAGATTTAATATTCTGTTCGAGTATATTGTGGTCAACCGACAATATTTAATACGTATGTAGATCGTGAACGGTAGCATGACAAGGGAATTAATAAGTTTTAACTAAATCTCCTGATTCTTAACACATTTCTAGTGACGTCCATGTCGTATGCATAATTTATTGTTCATTTGTCGTATTTATTATTTAATTTCGTTGGTTTTAAACAATTGATTTCGTTTTTGGTACACGGAAGAAAAGTGCGCCAACAGTTGACCAATTATATTGTGGTTAATGGTCCACAACAAGCTGTCAAGAAATTCACTGCTCCACTGTAAGATTCTTCCTGTTTTTCTTTGATATCCCGAAATATATACAGTAAAAAGTGGGACCTCAAATCTGTGCTATCATTTTAATTTTGCGTAGTACGAAATTGAGGCTTTTGCGAAGATTAAATGTATATTATTTTAAACGGAAATTGTTCGAGTACATTAACAAATTAAACTTTTGACTTTTGAATACAGGAAGAACTGCGTAACTAAATAAATCTATTCAATGTCAATCAGATTGTGTAATTTTGGAAAAACCAGCGTGAAATTTTTGTTACAATTAGGAACTCTTTTGCTTTATTGTTAATTTATTTGCGCTTCAAGTAAACCAAAAAAAAAGGGCCAAATCTTTGTTGTGGACCATTACAACTGGAGGATTATCCATGTATTATATACCTATGTAGTACAGTACTACAGCTTATATAAAAAAAAATTGAATCTTACATGTTTTACTTTTGTTTATTCTAATTCTTAAAAATTGCTTCATTGTAAATAATTTGCAGTGTTGTAATAATCAATAAACATTAATTATGTATTTGTATGTTATTAATTTGCAACTTGAGGATGCGTGTAAGTACTTATACAACAAATTTTCTTGGTATCCAAAGTTTAAGAAGTTGTAATAACAATAGTTATTTGCACATTTACGATAAATAGTAAGATTTTAAGTACCTTTATCTATATTTTGATGCGTCCACTAAAATGATAGTCACGCAGCTTGTTATATAAGTGTTACTTATGGACTGTAATTACGGGAACATTAAAAATTACTATAACTGTAGCGCTAATTATTGGACTATCGTAATTGCTGTTAACGAAATAGCTTCAATTATTTATTTGACTGATATTTCGGCTTCTATTCTATTTACAGTTTTAAAAGATCAAAAAAAAACTAAAAATATCCTTGGTCCGTAAATATTTATATGTGGTCATTAAAGGTACCAATTTCAATTTTAATTTTTACAAAATATCTGTGTTAGTAATTATTGGCTAACAATTTTGACCTTGATATGATGGAATTGATGGCTTCGTTCCATAATATGGTTACAATAAGGAAATGCACATGTATATATATATACAAAAGGAAACCATAAAAAGAATTTTTTGATCCATGAAAGAAGAAAATAAAAAAAAATTGATAACCTTCAAGGTTTTTCTACTTCTAATTCCCAATATACTGTAAAGGTAATTAGAGTTGTTCAAGTACGAAAATATAGAGACAATACTGTTTAAATTTCTTCAATTTTTAAAATTTTCTTATAAAATGTCGAAAAATACATATTTAACTAAAAATTATCTTTCAACTGACGAAATATCAATCAAATATCAATCAAATATGAAAATTAAAGTTGGAAAACAATTATCGAATTAATATTAATAACATTTAAGACTACATTGACCTTACAAGAAGTAAAAAAATAATGTATAAAGTACTTACCGACCTTTCCTTTTTTGTTTTTGGTTTTCAAAGAAAGCAGTTCTTTAAAAATTAAAAATAAACGAACGTATAACGTAAAAACCCCTCCGTTAAATGAATTCACACGCGGAGCTGGTTGAACTTGATTCAAGAGAGGTATTGAGGGATAATAACATCATTCTTCCTTCAGTTCCTATATATGTGACAATGGTACCTGTTTTACTCCATCCAGATCTGAATAGCGCCATTGGCATTGCAGTTCTTTCAGTCGAGGACAGAATATGATACACACCATTATCGGTATCTACTCCAAATACTTTAGAAGCAGAAAAGGTACAAATCTTTACCTGCACGAAATATTTTTAAAATATCTTTTAGTACATGTTAAATATTTAAAATAAAAAGGGGCTCAAATTTTGCAAATATCGTTTCAACTTTAAACATCGTTTCAAAATCTCTCATTTTGTTCAGGTCAATAGCAGGGTTGCAAATTAGTTTTTAATGGCTTTCTTAATTATGATTACCTTAATGTTAATGATATCTCTATCTCTTGTGTTGTCGTCAAAAAGCCTTAAAAGGGGTTTTGGTACTATGTAGGTAATACAATAGATTGTTTAATGGTTCTATTTATGTAATTGCGTGATACTAGTTTGGTTTCTTCAATAAGAAAAGCAATTTATAAATAGTGTAAGTTTTAGTTCATTCTTTTTATTGTCAAAAATGAACTGATAATTGTGCTATTATAATCGGAGCGATATTTAATACGTTCACATATTTTTTTCGAGGTCACGTTATGTGGTCATTCTTTAATGTCTTGTATTTTAAATTACACGGACATTTTTCACTTGTTATGCATATTAAACAATATTTGTTATAAAATTGAAAGCCCTTTAAGGTTTTGAAATATTTTACTATTTGTATTGACTTCGCATTAACTTTTTTTACTGTGTGTTTCTTTTACAGTTATTATTTTTGAAATTTATAGTTCCTTTGTATTATTTATTTAATTTTTTAAAACGTTTTTTTTTACACTTAATGGGGGGGGTCATAAAATTTTATATACTCTTAAACTACTGTTAATCCTTTCAGTCGTTTAATTTAACTATTTTTGGACAATCATTCCTGAAGCTTCCATTATTAGCACCAATGACTTGTCAGATAAGACGTTTACTCGAATTAAATTCTTATTCAGCTTTTCAATGATATTGCAAACTTTGAAGATCTGTTAGGACAAGTGAAAGAACTCATATTTTATTACTTTATTTCATTTGTTATAAAACGTTGACTTCTCCTTGCTCTTTAGATCCATCATTCAACTGTTTTTTTTTTTAATTGTTTAAAAAGTCAAACTTCAATTAATTTCGTTACTGACGATTGAAGTACCTACCTATCGAGTAAATGGTATTTAACTTTTATTGCTAACTTTGTTTGGCTGTATTTTCTTCAAAGAAGAGTGCACAGCCTATTTCGTTTCCTCGTTAAAATGTAAATTTTATATTTAACTGAAATATTACGGAAAGGCGTCTGACTCACAACTCTCCCAGTAATTCTAAATAAAAGTAAATTATGGGCGTTTTGCGCCTTTATAAGGTTGTTGACTTAAAAACATAACAGAAAGAATAAACGTTAAAGAAGAAGGAGAAATAAACCGGCTAAAATGTTTTTTTTTATTAACACCGAATGTGTTAAATGCCTAGTCATTTATTAGTTAACGTACACTATTACAAAAACAAGCTAAAGTGAACAGGTAGATAAGCACAATATCTATTAGCTTCTGGATTTTCTTCTGATTCTGCTTCTAATGTATTTGCCTAGGTAAAAATTTATTCCATCGAAGATGCAAGTTGAATAAATTATCTTAACATTAGTTAATTAAACTGCAAATGTAATGAGGGATCTTGGGACCTTGCAGAGGAAGATATTTCTGCCTTCTTTTGTTATTATAATAAAGCCGATGACTTTCAACTTCCAGTGGGTTAAATGCGAGACATTTGTAAAGAAGATAGCCGTGGACTTCTCGTTTTTAACCTTCTCTTTTCTTATTATATTTTGTCTGATTACTACTTGTGAATTCTGTGCATTAATCAAGTATGTACTTTACATTATTATGGCATTTATTTTCTACTGCATTTTTTTCTAATTGTTATGAAAACCGTTGAATAAATATAAATATTGTAGATGAAATCCTTTAAATTAGACCACAGGAAGATTGTTTTGCTATAATGAGAACACAGCGTAATGAGTGCAATTCAGTAATAGAGATAATATTTTTTTATATTGCAATTATCTTTTATGTTACCTGTAAATCAATGTGTAGTATTTCTTGACGTTTATTATCAATACAAGGATAAAAAGGTCATATTCAAGGTAATGAATAGCCGTTTTATTATTAAATAGAAAACAACCAAAAGTTGTTTACATTTTATTGTGACATTTTACTAAGTGATTTCCTATTTCTTCTTTAATAAATATTTAACTTGGACAATCCCTTTAACAATCTGTTGCTTCTTTTTCTTCGGTTTCTTGTTTTAAAACTATTGTTACCCTTCTTGATGCATTGTTTGTTTCTGAAGGAGCTACCTTTCCTTCATTGGTTCCTAATTTAGGTGGTACGTATTTTATATCCGAATTAGGTGGTGGTTGTCTCGGTGGATTGTAATTACTTGGCCGACCCACCAGGGTGGTGGCTGTAGCTCGTCTTAAATATGAGGTACTGCGTCTTTTAGGCCAACCGTATCTTTCTTCCAAATTTATCCTTAATTTTCTGTATGTACCCTTCAGATGATTTTGCACCTTAGCATACAATAAATGACATGTAATTGGTCTAATTATTTGTAAAGTATAAGTAAATGTCATATGTATTTGAAAATTAATTTAATTTTTATTCGCCGTCGCCGGAAATCGAACCCGGGACCTTTGGCTTTACATACCAACGCTTTAACCACTAAGCTACGATAGGTGGTAGCAATAAGAATGCGAAACTATTAATATGTCAGTTTTGGGGCGTCTAGCTAAATGGTCACAGGATCGATTCCAGACGAAGGTGAAACAGCACCAACAATTTTTCATCATTAATTGAAGGTGATTTGCAGTGAATAAATGAAATTAAATGAATTTTTCACATAAATGTTATAAGTAAATATGTCTCTTACCTCTTTATTGAAGTAACAGAAAATGCAAGCCACACAAACGCCTTGTAGTGCCTGAAAGCTGTAACTGAAATAGTGAAAAATGTCTCCAAAGGTACAAGACCTTCCTGCAATCCTTGTGTCTACGGTTAGAAGAAAAGGGACTCCAAATAAAGGAACAAGAAATATCATTGCTTTTAGTGTAGACCTGTAAAAAGCAATGTACAACATTTAATGTCAATACCAAGATCAAGGTTAAAATTCTCTACAGAATCAAGACCCTTAAAACATTCAATGAGGGTGTTTCTTTCTCAAGCAATTAAACAAAATTTCCGACAAAAAGAAATACTAAAGCCAAAACTATCTGCAAATGCAAGTTTAAAGTTGAGAATCAGTCAATATTTGAAAGACTTAAGTCAATATTAGATCTTTAAATGCAAGGCTCTGCCAAGATTGAGACCGAAATATAATTTCGGTCTTGTCATTAGTCATAAGTAGAAATGAGACGTAAAATTACTTGGTTTGTGCGCTGGTATTGTTTCTCCGCAGTTTGACTAATAGAACTCTACAAATGTCCAAAAGTAGAAGAAAATTTATGACCAAAACGGCCATACGAAAGCTGTCTCCTATCCAGGAATATCCTCTCGTGTCCGACATCCAACAACTAGTGTCGTACAAAGTTGCTCTGACTATGGCCCAAACAATTGAAGGTAGGAAACTGGAAACTAAATCAATCATTTGCTCAAAAGGGGTTCCACTTTTGTATAGTTAGTTCTAGGCATAGTGGCAACTATTTAGGTGAAGAGGTGATTTACTAGGCCGATTTATTAGGTGGTATATCGACATTTATTTTTTTCACAAAATAAATATAGGTTTTGTTAGAATTATTCAGATTAATTTAGAAATTCGAAAAAGATGGTTAAAGGTGTATATCTAGAGCACGACGGAAAAGAGAAGGTTAAAAGCGTTCGAAATGGGGTGTTATAGGCGAATGATGAGGATACCTTGGATTAGGGTTGCCACCCGTACTTTATTATAAAGTATTCTTCTCTATTTCGACTGTGCGTACGTTATACTTTACAAGATACATAAAGTACGCAAAAATACTTTATTTAAGGCCTTACGTAAACATCGTAATTTTGTAAGCGATTATTCGAAATTCAGAGTACTTTTATATCAATAATATTGCACAGAAAAATGACAAGCCATATTTACGGAACAACCTGATTTCCCAAATCTGTTCAAAGTAGTGTCACTTTTGCTGTCCGTTCCGGCCACTTCAGCATTTACAGAAAGAGTATTCTCTGTTATGAACGCAAAGTGACAGGACAACAGGAATAAAGCTTCATTAAAACTAATTAAAAATGAACTTTTAGTTTACTTAGATCTTTGTTTGCCATGTTTAGAGGCTATTAATGTATTTAAGAGCGACAGCAATTTGTTACTGGCTGCTAGGTGTAACAAAAAATATGTTTTTAAAAATAAAAAATAAAATACTTTAGTCAAGAAATACTTTATGTAAAGCCTGAAAAGGTGGCAACCCTACCGTGGATAGAGAAGGTTAGAAATGAAGAGATATTAGAAAGAATAGGAGAACAGAGGACTCTATGGAAGTCAATAAGAAATAGGCGAGATAGGTTGGTAGGACACCCCCTCAGGCATGAAGGTCTAGTCAGAGACATATTAGAGGCAGAAACAGGAGTTAAGAGGAGTAGAGGTAGATCTAGATTAGATTACTGTTCGCGATGTTCTAGTTTTAGGGAATTACGAAGATTAACTTAGGTTGAAATGTTGATCTTGTTCGACATATTCCCTGGCACATATTTTGAGAAATATTCGAGAGCATACTGCACATTGTTTTGCACCTCTTCACCTATTTTTGAAGGTAGGTGCCGCCACTGGTTCTAGCAACATACCTATAGTGACAAGGTACAATACACGGGGGTTTGGATCGTCGCTGAATACCCTTACTATCAATTTGTGTAAATAAAAACCATCTATCACCATACAAGCGTAAATGGAATTGACTGCTGCATTCTCGAAAAATGCCAAAATTTTACACCACACCTAAACAAAAGAAAAACCAACAACACGAACAGAAATTTTGCTTACATTATATTATATAGTGTCTACTGCAAAAACCGGTTTAATACTGGTTCTTCTTCTTACCCCATTGTTGGCCATAGTTCTTGACCCGTTTGAATCCAAAGCGTCCAAAATGACCAAAACTTTGCTCATTATTGTTAAAATATTCCTCAATATGCAAGCGATAAGCAGATTCCTGTGCAGATTAACTCGGAGAATTCTTAGTTTTTCGTAACTCAAAAAGATTATAACTGCTGGGAACGATAGGAAAATCGATATGTACAGTACAGTAACGTGGAAACTATTCCTTCTACGAAACAGTGGAGCAGACGAACAGCCCCCATAGTCCGTATTAGAGTTCCAAGTTCCATTGGAGAAACATTGTTTTTGACTGTAAACTAAAATCATCTTCAGTTTCATAATAAATAGATCAGAAAAAAACTTTTGGGTGTTTCATTCCCACCGGCCACTAATGGTAGTGGGCACGTAGTCCCTCTGGACTACGCCGAAAGATGAGCGGAAGGCCCTCTTCAGCCTACTTTCAGGAATTGTGGGAATGGGTAGATGGTGGTTAGGGTGGGAAAGACGAAACAGATGAAATGAAGACAGAAGAGAATGAAAGATTATCTGTGGAATATTACTGCCCCAGTATTTGCCTAAGTGATCCGAGCAAACCATAGAAAAACTTGGACCAAGGCAGACGGACCCGGAATCGAACCGGCGTCCTCCCAATTGCTAAGCAATGGTCTAAACCTCTAGGTCTTGCTGCTCAGTGAATAGGTCAAAAAATTATATGTAGGGGAAACCGAGATAAACTGAACCATAAGTTCAAACTGACAGAAGAATTTTTTTATGTAATTACTTCATTATTTTCTAAATAATTTTGGGAACTAGGAAAATCCAACTAGGAAAATCCAAAAATTATCGATTTCTTTTTCATCACTGTAATTTAAGGCTTTACTAATTTTATTTTCATATTAGCCCCGAAGTTAATTTTAAACCGGTCTCCCCCAAATTTAGACTTACGTGTGCATGGAAATGAAGCAGCAGAGACACTGTAAAGGGGACATTCCTTCATAGCCGTTGTTCCCGCTTTTGCCCGTGGGTAACAGGACCAAGCATCCCAAATTACTGGACAGGGATATTCTTCGCCTTTTAACCAAAATAATTACTCTACTACTATTTGCCACTATATTTTCGTATGACTTACTGGGATATATATTTTCGGCATCCATTGATTCAGAGCAACATGTATCGGCTGCCTTGGCACAGTCATACCATTTTTGGTAAAATCTCTCCGATAAAAATGAATTTGCCACCAACGCATTGGTTTCTTCATTGGTATAATCAAATAATAAGCCATACGTTTGATTTACCTGATTTATAACAATGAACAGTGGAGTTAGTGCCCAAAAATTAAATTTTTGTGGGAAATATTTTATTGGTATTAGTGATGAGTAAAGTACGACTAATACCAAGACTGTTCTAGCCTTGATATTGACCTTGGTCTTGCTTATTCGATCTTAATCTTATCCTTGCTCAAATACTTCTAGTCTAGATCTTGGTCTTGAGTGTTAAGCCTTCCTCCAACGCATGAATTGGTCTTGGTTTCTGGTTTTAGTCTTGGTCTTCTTCGTTCAGTCTTGGTTCTAGTCTTAGTATTCTTCGTTCAGTCTTAGTTTTAGTGTTGGTCTAGGTCTTACTAGTATAAAGACACCCTTAGTCTTGCCGAAATGCAAGACCAAGGTCAATTTCACTAATCACTAATTAGTCTTTGTCACTTCGTTCAGTCTTGGTTCTAGTTTTAGTCTTCTTCGTTCAGTCTTAGTTTTAGTGTTGGTCTAGGTCTTACTAGTATAAAGACACCCTTAGTCTTGCCGAAATGCAAGACCAAGATCAATTTCACTCATCACTAATTAGTCTTTATCACATTAACAGAAATTTTGTGCAAACTTACCACAATAGCCAGAAGGCTATAGCTTCTGTTGTTGAAAGGATAAGCTACGGTTGTCAAGTTTAATTTTTGCTTAAACATAGAATTATCTCTGTAATAGTAACACATTCCGGATGTCAGCCAAATCCATAATTCTTGCGGGTAGGGATTCAGATTACGAAACCTGCAGTATTTACTACTGATGGTCTTTTTCTGCAAAGGAAACTAATTTGATAATATTAGGTGTTATATCAACAATTTCTGTTTCTTTTTAATTTGAATAATCCCAGTAGTTATTAGTAGTACATTAGAATCTTTATCTACAAGTCCTTAATTCCAACGGATTTTGTGCTACTTATTCGTTTGATTAATCAGTCTAATAATGTGTATTGAGTAATTTAAGCTATTATATTATAAAAGAGTATTAACGAAAAGGAAGAAAAAACGGCTATCTTACGTGATATCTCGATTGGTATGAATTGACGTTATAATCACTGTTTATAGCAGATTGATGTTCGTTTTCCACGGGAAATTCTTCACCGAATTCACTTTCCAAGAGCGCATCTTGCACGCGACATCCAAACGATGGAGTTGTAAGTAGAATTGATACCAACACGACGAAGAGAACTCCGTGCACAGATATGAACTTCATTTCATTTATTAAACAAATAGTAAACAAAGCGACTTCAATTATCTATCATTATTGCATTATTTTACGTATCGTGTATTACACTACATCGTTGACTGTATGTGAGATTATAATTATATTTTAAGATATGACGGCTATGATTTATTATTTACAACTACCGACGATTTTCTCTAAAAATGAAAATTCAATTCGATAAAACTTTGCAGCTTATCTTCTTTTAATACGTACAAATATTATCAGCTACAGAATTCGACTGATAAATGCACAGCCTATTTCGTTTCCTCGTTAAAATGTAAATTTTATATTTAACTGAAATATTACGGAAAGGCGTCTGACTCACAACTCTCCCAGTAATTCTAAATAAAAGTAAATTATGGGCGTTTTGCGCCTTTATAAGGTTGTTGACTTAAAAACATAACAGAAAGAATAAACGTTAAAGAAGAAGGAGAAATAAACCGGCTAAAATGTTTTTTTTTATTAACACCGAATGTGTTAAATGCCTAGTCATTTATTAGTTAACGTACACTATTACAAAAACAAGCTAAAGTGAACAGGTAGATAAGCACAATATCTATTAGCTTCTGGATTTTCTTCTGATTCTGCTTCTAATGTATTTGCCTAGGTAAAAATTTATTCCATCGAAGATGCAAGTTGAATAAATTATCTTAACATTAGTTAATTAAACTGCAAATGTAATGAGGGATCTTGGGACCTTGCAGAGGAAGATATTTCTGCCTTCTTTTGTTATTATAATAAAGCCGATGACTTTCAACTTCCANATTGCATTATTTTACGTATCGTGTATTACACTACATCGTTGACTGTATGTGAGATTATAATTATATTTTAAGATATGACGGCTATGATTTATTATTTACAACTACCGACGATTTTCTCTAAAAATGAAAATTCAATTCGATAAAACTTTGCAGCTTATCTTCTTTTAATACGTACAAATATTATCAGCTACAGAATTCGACTGATAAAAGAAATAGATTAAATGCCTACAGTTAATATGAACCGCGGTAAAATCTGTTATTAAATATAAGTGTCACTGTCTATAAAAGTATTAATTTAATGATAATTCTATTGGCTATTTAAACTAAGAGCTGTGCAAATACACGCGTAATACTTAGAGAATATTTTCGTATTTTGTTGTGATTCATCAGAAAATTTAATGGAATAATAATAAACGTCTGGTATAAAACGCATTTATTCATAAACTTATTAAATGTAACAACGAAAGTTTGATATTTCATTTTGAAGACCAAAAACTAGGAGATAGTAGTCGATTATTGGATATGTGACAATGGAAAACAAATAAATCACCTTTCTACTCACAAACGGTTCTTAAAAAATATAAAAGGCTAGAAATGGGAAGGTATTCGAAATGGTAGGACAAGAAAGGGTACTGGGAAGTTAATACAAGGTGCATGAGAGATAAGATGTCAGAATACTCTCCAAGACACAAGGAGCATTTAGAGACATACTGGAAGCAGAAATAAGGATAGACAGAGGTGGAAGAAAACCTAGATCATATTACTGTTCGTAATAAATGGATGTTAACACTGCAAGGAGTATTCAACCAAGTCTCTGGACTAACTGTATCACGTTTATTGAAAATTATGAGCTAACTGGAGCCAGTTTCCTATGCTGTTTACACGTCTCGCAGCACAATTTCCGAAATCCCCCCACCTGACAGTAATGCTGGAGTATTTTGATGGAACAATATTTCGATAAATCGCCGGTGCATTTCTTCTTTTTCCGGCATAATTTCTCTTCACTTTTTGTGGTCGCTCCTGTACAAACCCTGTTCTGAATGGGAGGAGTGGGACCGCAGGTGTAAAAGGTTTCGTCCTCCGTGAAAGGCGTGCATCTAGCTTGTCTCGTGGAAAGACCGGTCCCACACGAAACCGAACACTTAAACAGACATTCAAAATCAGTTAAAAGTATATATGTTTCAGTAACTACAGGGTTGTACTTTTCGCTTTTTTATTGCAGATGCTGTAGCAAGTATAATATATATACAAAAAATGACTTTGAACATGAAACATCTTTGAAAACGAAATTGAGAGACAGTCGTTTATATTATGGGGGTTAAACAGAAGGTATATCACCAGCTACGACCTACATTCGTATATAGAGATAAACGCGTTATCAATTGAGTACCGGTATTATTGGTTTAATAAAGGTATAATCTCTTAATTAAAAATATAACGTATTATGACCTTATTTGATGATTACCTGAGACCATTCTCCAAACTCCCAATACGATGGGCATGGTATTCTGTGGCAGGGCCGAGTGGTTTGTGGATTTTGACCAGCACATTTGTTCGGACTTACCATGTAACGCCAGGGGCTGTCGCGGATCGTTTCGTTTTTTAATTCTAAGGCTGCATACCAAATAGATCTATGGACACAATAGACCTCTCTGTACTGGACACCGTTGGAACCACACGTGGCACTACATGGTTCCCATCGCCCTGACAACCATTGAAAATTGCAACTGTAAAATGGGTAACAGTGCAGCAAAATTAAATCGCTTTTTGCTGCTGGTGTTTTTACCTAAAAGTGTTGCATTTCTCGGTTGGCGTTGCAGGTCTAAATGCCAAGGAGCAATGCCTTTTCGGAACAATCCTTTCGTGTAAACGGTCCCAACATGCGACTGTCCTTTGTCTTTTTCCGCCGCCGCAGCTAGCTGTACAAGCACCCCAGCCACCTTGCAACCATCCGTATCTCCCGTCGTCTTTCAGTAAAGTTTTGTTGAGGAAGAAACTCGAACTGTATGAAACGTTCACGCCGATTTCTATATCAGTTTTGGGTATGTGAAGCTAAAATGAAGGTTAGATATTACAGGCATCATTTAAATTGTACAAGTGGTTATACCAAAACTACTATTTCTGCCAAAATGGGGCCTCTAGCTTGCAAATTATGTACAGGTCCCCGTCGTGTGTACATAAATCTGGTCCCTTCGATAATTTCATTGAACAAATTCGTGTTGGGAATTGGCAGGAGGTATTTACGTCTTAGCCTATCTTTCAATATGAAGGCTACTGATAGATTTAGAGAAGCATGGGCGGTTAGATTAGCTTGGATCTTTATTTCTCTAGACATCTTCGGAATTACTGCAAGTCTACTCAATTCTGAAATTGCATAAGTGCACTGGTATTAACAATTTTTATGTATGTGAGTTCAAACCTCTTTTGATTTTCTTCTGGTGAAATTTTCTGATTTCCTTGCAGTCGCTATTGTCGCCACCGCAAATCCCGCAAGCATCCTCTTTTACCCCGGAAAATAGCTTACCGTCACACCCCACTGGTTGACACAAACCCTTAAAATATATTCGTAAGTAGATGCAGTTTCAACAATAGATTATCCATTGAACTGAGATTATATTTGTCTATAGAAATCGGTAAAACAAAAGAGTCGGTTTCTTTGCTACACCCAACTGTACATAGTTGTCTAATTAAATATATGTTTTATATGTAAAGGTGGTGAAAAGCAAATTAAAAAATGACCGTGTTTTTTAATAGCATAATATTTTTGAAAGTTCGTTTAATATTTGTTTGAAATATATTGCGTGTATCTGAACCTGAATACATATATCGCTTCCGTTGTCATAACTGCATGGGGTGCCATCCAATAAATTTTCCCCTGTCACGAACAGTTCTCTGGTCTCCTTGCCGAGGCAAATTAACTGACACTTAAGTCTCTCTGAAACATTATTACAGAGTGCCAATCAGTTAGAATTTAATTAAATACGTGATGTATCCACCAAATTATTTTCTGGATAATAAATCCTTTAATAATAACCTTATTTCTCTTTCTCTTCTTTTTTTAATTATTAAAAAAAACGATTAAAAAAATAAAATGGAAGCGGTACTGACAGATCAGTACTGTATGAAAATAAATAAAAGTAAAACTAAAATACTGGTATGCAAGGGAAGTAAAAGTAGGGAAAGCGCGAATATAAAGATAGGAGACGAAAAATTGGTAGAAGTGACCGATTTTAGATATCTAGGAAGTCAGAAAGTCAGGACGAAAGGAGTACTAGGGATATAAAGCAGAGGATAGCGCAGGGTCGTGTCGCCTTTAATAGAAAGAAGTCACTTCTATGCTCGCGAACCGTTAATTTAGAAATTCGAAAAAGGTTGTTAAAGGTGTATGTTTGGAGCACGGCGTTGTACGGGTGCGAAACATGGACGGTGGGCACTGCGGAAAAGAAAAGGTTAGAAGCGTTCGAAATGTGGTGTTATAGGCGGATGATGAGGATATCGTGGGTAGAAAAGGTTAGAAATGAAGAGGTATTGGAAAGAATAGGAGAACAGAGGACTCTATGGAAGACAATAAAAAATAGGCGAGATAGGTTGGTAGGACACCTTCTCAGGGATGAAGGTCTAGTCAGAGACATATTAGAGGCAGAAACAGGAGTTAGGAGGGGTAGAGGTAGACCTAGATCAGATTACTGTTCGCAAATAGATTTAGGGAAATGCGAAGTTTAGCTCAGGATAGGAAAGAGTGGAGGTACGTGTCCAACCAGTTTTAGGACTGACGACCTTATGATGAAAAAACGAACATTTTCTTACAATTTACTATTACATTCTGTCTTTTAAGTCGCGAGTTTTATTTGTTGCTATTCTCTGTTATAAAACCAACCGTGATTAAAGTTTTATGTCTGTAGCAACCCTATTTTTACGGTTTATCGAAAATAATTATCGTACCATCATCGCTTTCGTAAGGCAACCAGGTGACATTGGCCCTTTGATCCCTTAATTTTAATATTTGCGGAAGTCTGTTGCACTGCTGGGCCCTAATGTCTGTCATAGGTCCTGGGCATTTCTCCAAATTGCACACCCTCCATTCTTCGGACAATCCGAAGCACTCGCTACCTCCATAAGATGGTCTGTCCCAAATGTATATCTCACTATTAATTATTATTTGTAAAGCACCGTACTTACAATGGGTTGTCGCATTTTCGGGTTCTAAACTGGACCCCCGTGCCACAACTTCTGGAACATGCACCCCATTCAGACCAATCACTCCAACCACCGTCTTGGGGGTTGTGAATTACTGGATCCATTCCAAATTTGCTTACGTCCACATCTTGACAATATCCATCAATACACCACTACAAATATATTAAATATTTTGAAGGTTTTGTAGGTTTCAGTTTTAGTACAAAATCGTTCACCAAATGTCCCAGTTACCTTGTTGAAGCCACACTCTGTTCCTTCCAAAGGGGGGCCCTTTTTAGTCTTACAAACCAATGGGGTTTTTTCGTGGCTGCACCACAAATGGGAACATGGTTCTGAAACGTCGAACGCCCTGCATAATTCGTACCTGCAATAATATTTCTTTAGCAATAGGTTTCTACCCTTAATCCCCTTTTTATGGATTTACCCGTCCCCAAATTCTGTTCTACACTGTTCATCCATACTAAACGTTGTATAGACAGTACCATTAAGTGGAATTTCTCCCTGATTCGGGGGAGAATTTCTTAAGCAAAACCATTTACTACAACAGCAAATTAGAAATTCACAAATAGTGTAAAGTTTTTTGATGTCAGTGACCAGTTACTTGAGTTTCGATTTAAATTCGTCCTTGGAACATTGCGACCAACTAAATTTGTGAAACGTTGCGGCGACCATTGGGGCCATGACACTTCCATCGATTGCTTCATCCCCGCAATTGTTGTTCCATTTTTTATCTCCATCGTGGGTTAAACCTAACCTATACAATTTAGTAAAAACCAAACTGTTATATTCCTTACAAGAGGGCTATATATTATCTAGTTATTACGACGAGGGTGAAATAATCCCTTAGTAAATGTATTGCTTACAAGTGCCCCATTTCGTGTGCAATTATGAACGCGCTAGATAGTCCTTCGTCCTTGTTGAGGGCGCAGCTCCTTTTGGGATCGCAGGCACCACCGATAGGAGCGTATCCTGATGGACCACCGATGTCGACCCTCGTCAACCAGACTGCTACGTCGTGTTGTGGTTCACCAGGGGCCAAACTCAAATGTAATCTGCGATTCCACGCGTTCACGTTCTCCAACGACCTCTTGGAATTTCCTGGGCGAAGCACATTCTCCTTTTTGTGTTCATAAAAGAACAGCCGGGTGATTATAAGTTGCATGTTAGCTTCAAGCGAAGGATCTTGGTAGATTGCGCTTACCTGTCCCAAAATTATAGATGCAGTATCACGTTGAATGTAATTTGATAATGAATGAGTGGAGATAGAATCCTTAAAGACTAAAGTTTACCAATAATTCGTATATTTTTCGTAGGAAAATTGGAAATTAATTGGTCCTAACTCGATTAATTTGTGATTTAATTTAATTTACTCACTATGTTCATCAAGGAAAGAACATAATGTTCAACCCTATCTTTACCGTGGAACGATATGACGGTATTGTCAATAGCCACTGCAATTTCCAGCCAACGTTGCGGAGACCCTGAAGATGGACGTGAACGGTGCTCTTGAATAAAACGGTAGTATAATATATAATTTTCAACCCTTATTTTTCATTATCTTACTGTTGAGTTTAATATCCCATGCGGAATCCACAAAATATCCAATATCATCATCGTGCCCGTCTTGCATAGTCCATAACGAATTATCTTCAACGGCGATTGTAAAGATTTTCTGTGTACGCCCCTGGTTTCTGTACATTTCGGCATCATCGTCTAAATCTTTGGTTCTTTTGTGGAGTTCTTCCAGGCCGAAACTTTCTAAACCACCAGTTATATCGAAAGTGTCGCCTGTTAGATTAAAGAATTCCCAGGAAGAGCTAGGGGTTGCACTTTCTCTTTTAGTTCTGTTTAGTCTGTAACTGAACGTCTTGTTTTTTTTTTTTATTTTGAAACAAAAACAAATATAGGATTGTTCGGAAAGTCATTTCGTTTTTTCCCGACAGAGGATTTAATTGTATTCTTTTGCACCCAACTTCACATTTCAGCCGTATAATTTTTATGTGCTTTGAGAGCTCATATAGCAAGGCTTGTGTGTGAAAAATTCCAATTAATTCTACGCAGTAGTTTTTGGTTGGTGCCCTTTTAAATATGGAGAGCGATAAGCAGCATTTTCGACATATCTTACTGTTTTACTACAGAAAGGGTAAAAATGCTGTTCAAGCCAGAAAGAAATTGACTGATGTGTATGGAGAAGGTGTGTTGACAGTACGCCAGTGCCAGAACTGGTTCGCTAAATTTCGATCCGGCAATTTTGATGTCGATGATGCACCACGTACGGGAAGGCCGGTTGAAGCTGATAAAGACGCAATAAAGGCATTAGTTGATGTGAACCGGCGAATAACAACACGTGAGATCGGATTGAGGTTAAATTTATCAAATTCAACAGTTTATGACCACTTGAAAGGCCTGGGATTATCCTCGAAGCTCGATGTATGGGTTCCCCATGTTCTCACAGAGAGAAATCTGTGTCGCCGCATTGACGTCTGCGATTCGCTTCTCAAACGTCACGAAAATGATCCGTTTTTGAAGCGCATCATCACTGGGGACGAAAAATGGGTTGTATACAACAACGTCAAACGCAAGAGGTCATGGAGCAAAAAAAATGAACCGGCTCAAACCATTTCCAAAGCCGATATTCACCAAAAAAGGGTGATGCTGTCTGTTTGGTGGGATTTTAAAGGAATCGTTTTTTTTTTAGCTTTTACCGGATAACACAACGATTAATTCCGAAGTCTACTGTCATCAGCTGGACAAACTGAATGATGCACTTCAACAGAAAAGGTCAGAACTAATCAACAGGAAATGTGTAGTGTTTCACCAAGACAACGCGAGACCTCACACAAGTTTGGTCACTCGCCACAAGCTTTTACAGCTTGAATGGGATACAATGCTACACCCACCATATTCTCTAGACCTGGCACCATCGGATTATTATTTGTTCCGGTCACTCCAAAATTTTTTAGACGGTAAAACCTTCACCTCAAATGAGGAGGTCGAAAACCTCCTCGATCAGTTTTTTGCCAGCAAAGACCAAAACTTTTATGAGTGTGGAATTATGCTACTACCAGAAAGATGGCAAATGGTGTTGGACCAGAACGGTCAATATATAATTTAATAAAGTATTTGTTTATTATACGAAAACTGTTTTTCATTTCCACAAAAAAAAGACGAAATGACTTTCCGAACAACCCGATATTTATGTGCTAGTTGTGATACTTGCCTTTTGGGAACGGTAATTCTACGCAAAATGTGTAACTGGTCGGACCCTTCAAAAGGTTCTACAGAAAAGCTTTCGTTACCGCTGTGAATAAGGCCCATAATTTTTGAACCGCATAAGGTAATAAAAGCGGAAATGTTTTGGGAATACTTTGTTGAGTCCCCTTTAGTGGGATAGCATTTCTCCAACGGTTTCTCTTTCGTAAAATTCCCATAAATCCACGTACCTTTCCGAGGGATTATTAAATCATCATTATGTCTTAGTTCAAGTTTCATTTTCCCTAAATTCACAGTCACCTCATGAACTACTTCTTCATATGAAGTCAACGGGTTTAAGTCACGTTTCATACGTCGTTTGTGATGGAAAATTTTGGGGACAACAATCTCTACATCTTCGCCTCGTTTATCTTTTATGTTGGAACCTAATGGTTATTAATGAATTAGTGCTTAAAACATTGGTCTGGCCTTTTACTATTAATTAATATTTAAAGCGTATAAAACACGCATGGGTTATGAGTATACAAGAGGATAATTTACATTTTTACTGCATCGTGTATACTTAGTTTAAAATTCCGCATTGTTAATTTGTTTACAGCTGAACCATCGAAAGATGGCCCCTCACTTCTTTACTTGCGCAAAATGCACAAGGGTTGGTCAGTGGGAACACACTGTTTCTCCAGTTTTATGTGTTTTTATTCTGTTATATGTCCGCTATATGCCCGGGGCAGTTGGTGTGCGTCGAGTTCTTAGCTCGAAGAAGAGCTGAACTTGAATGATTCACTTTAATACAGAATAGTGATCGTCCTATGCGCATCTGTGGGCATTACAATCCGAGGGGCCACGTCTTGTTGGTCTAGTTGTACTTTTCTTTCAAAAACATCGATCTTGTCATTTGCATTGCTCTTTTACGAGATTTTCTTCAAGTTTCCGACGGTCTTTCAAAAAATAATTAAGTATCCACGTGCCTTCTATACATATATGTATGTATAAAATTTGAGCATCTTTCTTATATGTAGGTGTATGTAATTTGCTTTCATCAATATTTATTAAAATTATAAAAGAAACTGCCTTACTTGTTGGATTCTAATCGACTCATACTTTACCAGAGATGTGATTTATTTGAAATACTTGCATTTAAAATGCAAATACAAAATAAAAAATTCGTACTTTTATCTTGCATTTAAATACTCTTTTGAGAAAAACATTTCGCATTTTATTTAAAATACTTTTTCAAACGTATTATAAAAGAAACTGCCTTACTTGTTGGATTCTAATCGACTCATACTTTACCAGAGATGTGATTTATTTGAAATACTTGCATTTAAAAACAAAATAAAAAATCGTATTTTATCTTGCATTTAAATACTTTTTTGAGAAAAACATTTCGCATTTTATTTAAAATACTTTTTCAAACGTATTTTCCATTTGGAAAATGCAAAATAAATTTTTGCCGTCAAATGTCAGTCATGGTTCTTGGAATTTTGAAGTTCCAAATTGATATCAGCATCTGCCAAATCATCACTTATCTTACCTTTAGCAAGGAACTACGAAATTCTATGAATTACGACAAAACACCCCTCAAAACAATATCAGATTGATATACTACAAGATATTGTGGTATGCTTATAAATGCATATAATCCAAAATTCTTAGAAAACGATTCGAAAAACTTCACTTATTAGATGAACCCAAAGCTAAAGAAACTCGGAATCCATTTCTTACTCTTATTACAATGTGTAAAAGATCGGAAACAAAATGGGGTTGTAAATATTTTGATATAAAACGATTGATGTTGATTTTACATCAATAAAATTGTTTGCAACCCTATTTTGGCTCTGATCTTTCACGGTAGACAAACTATTTTGGCATCAGTGTCTTTTCTTCAATTAAAACGGGTGACAAAGGTAAATAAGGAAGCATATAGAAGAATTATTTGTTAGTGAACTGAAGAAATAATAACATAAATATAGAAAAACTATACTTCAATCACTTCAAACAGAAAAATATGAATCATACTCAATTTTCGTTGCTGGTGATATAGTGCAAACACCACTATTAGTTTAGAAAAACTCAAAGTACGCATTTTGTATTGAGCATTTAAAATACAAAAAGGAAATCTATGTTGTATTTTACATTCGAATTGACAAAACAAAAAGGTATTTGCATTTTGTATTTAAAAAACCATTTTGCACATCTCTGTACTTTACTAAAAGTCTTACCAAACATAAAACCTAACACTTGAATGAATATTCACCGTAATATCGTTTCGATATGTATTCAAGATCATCCTCAGGACTTGCGAATGGGATGAAATCACCATCACCAAGGGTCACATCTTCGGAAAGAGTTTTTTCGACGTTGCATAACACGAAAACGACATAAAAAATGATCGATCGAAATCGAAGAAGAGCAGACAATGACTTGTGCATTGTCAAGCCTGTCGGTAATGACTAATAAAATATTGTTGGCGGACGTCAGCTAATGTATTGGTAGCAGCAAATTAACACATGGCCTGCACTTGACTTAATTACTCATTAAGTCGCTGTTAAGATGGAAAACAACAGCTACACTGTGTTTAGTTAATGTGGTGGAATTGAGGGAACGACCCAAATGCACTGGCGGCTTCAGTTTGCGATTGCCAATAAATCCACACATATTAGCTGTAAGGTTTTCTTTTTTATCTTCTACTTTCTTAGTTGTGTCTCATTAACGAATTTCTTAAAGTAAATCGTTCACTATAATCCAGAACTAGAATAAACTGCTGCAAGGATCCTTAGTTTCAATCTTGTTATACTTCATTTACTTTCTCTAGCGATGTGCCCCTTCCAATGTCTTGGATGGGCGCTGGCAAAATCGTAGGTAGGGAGAAAAAAGCTCATTATACTCTCGACTCTTGTTCATTAAACATACTTTTTCATACAGTACCTGCCAAAAGTTTTGTTCAATCATGAATAGTAGTGCGAGTCGAAAACAAGCGTTAAAGCCTTTAATATGTCTTCAAATATAAATAAACATCTCGTTGATATTTTCAGTAGTAAATGGTACCAATAACAGCACATTTGAGCAATGCAATTGTAGTGGATAAAATGGTCAATTTTTCCGTGCAGTACTGTACGGATTATACGCTCCTCACCGGTTAAGAGTTTGGCCGAGAGTTGTCTCCTTCCTTTTCTGGCCTAGTGCTTTTCTTTTCTACTTTGCGCCGGTCAAATTGAAGATCACATCGCTACAGAAAGTAAACGAAATATAATGTGATGCATGATTGTTGAAGGATTTCTGTCATGGTACAGTGCAGTTCTCTACGATGGAATTGTTTTAGCACAATCAAGATGCAAAAGATGATCGTAGAATATCTGCATATGGTACTATAATGGAAACAATTGTATTTAAACATTCAAGCACGTTTCTGAATATACAAAATAAAATGTTAACAAAAGAAGTGCAATATTTTCGCTTCACTGTCACACTTTAACAAAATAAAACTAAACGTATGAAGGTAGAGACGTTTTATTTTCAAAAACTGTAGATACAAAAATGCTCAAACACATGAGGTATTAAAAAATGAATTTTAAGTTGAACAGTTGTACAGTAAGGCATCCAAAAATCGATAGACGAACGGAAAATGTGGTGATACTGACTCCGTGGCTTTTTCCATAATTGCAGAAGGAAAATTCACAACACGTGGTGCATGCGTGTAATTTAGTCCTCTCTCCTAGCACAATGCAACCTGCTTCGCAGGTTTTAGAACAGTTCCTTTGGAGCCACCAAAGTTTTGGTTCTCCGGTTGTGTCTTTGGTGTTTGTGGAGACGGATATTTTTTTGATCTAGACAAAAAAGAAAACCGAATCACTTGTCTTTATGGTGATAAACGTGACTGACCTGATTTTCCCTAAAAATTTATTAGGACGTCAAAGGACATGATACGTTTGTTCATTCTTATGATTTTATAAAGTACGTTTTGATATGAATCGATATGAACGTCGAGAAGACGAGAGAAATATTGGAAATTTGCTTATGATAACTTCGGGCAGCGTTGCCAGAGTTGCAGAAAGAATTTTCGCAGCAAGTTGTGCAGGAGTGCAGCTTTGTCCTCTCCCCTATGACAATGCAGCCCGCTTCGCAGATTTTCGAGCAGTTTCTCTGAAGCAGCCACAGTTTCGGCTTCCCTGTTGTATCCTCAGTACTCGTCGACATCGATATACGTTTCACCTAAATATATTACAACTTTTTACTTTTTCTCTAACTAACTTTAACTTCTTGGTCAATAATTCATCGAAACTATCACATTTGGTCTCATCAGCACGTCATAGACAGTCTCGATAAATTACAGGCCAAACTGATGTTGTTCTGTAATTCCTTTTGCTGTTTGTACCACAGTTTATATACGTGTGTGTAAAGTTAGTTTGATTGCGAAGGGATGGAGGTGTTTCTGACATCCTGAACAACCATTGCGACAAGCTTGACCTAATTCGGCCGAATGCCTCGAGATTGAATAATTGATTTCGCTCGAAACGTTGAAGATCGATTGGACGGCAGCGATCACGTCTCTTCATTATTTACAATTAGTTTATTTCTTAATTAGATAGGCATATTGCGGCACTCTGCCCTATAGGGAATATATACATGATTTCTTTTTTTGTAAATGAGACATTAGTTGCACATATTGAATGGGATGTACTTTTTATTTATTTTAAATGTGTTTATACTGAACCAATTTAGCGTTTTAAAGTTTATAACCTTTTGATTAACATTTACGTGGTCGTTACATCCTAATTTTCAACAATAACGATGTTTTCGTAACATTCTATTTAGCCATGCGTCTGTTGCACGAGTTTTTCCTGCAAACTTTAATTTCACCTCATGTCTCATTTCATAACATGTATAGCGCAACGAGTTAATTACGTTACTGCGATGTTCTGTCAATGATGAGGGAGATATCGGAAAATTAATTGGGAGTGGACGCAAATTCTGAATGACGCGTGGTGGCCACGTAATCCCAGAAGGAATTGAATGTTCCACAGTTGCAATGGATTATGGGTATGTGAAGAGAAGAAAATTAACAACACAAAGGAAGGCGCGCAAAACAAAGGACAAATGAATAAACAATGACACCGCGCTGCAATCCTTGATTGGGTCGTACTTTTTTGCTTTTGAATTTCGAACTTTCGATCGATTGAACCAATAATCCGGATTGAGTTGCGTTATTCGAGTCTACCATTTGAAGAATTTAAAATAATAATTTATATGTGTAAACGTATAGGGTAATTGCGGATAGTTAGGAACACTTAAAATATATTAAGTCACATATTAGCGAATGGTTCATTTACCTAATAGACAACTTGTTGAAGCATTTAATAGTGAAATCGGTTGAGTGAGCATTCATGCGTGATTGGGTGACGATGGTGGGTATATAAATCAAGCAGAAAAGGTGTGATGTTTAATGGATTTTAATAGGAGACCGTAAACGCAACAAAGATAATGTCAAAGATAGAAGGTGAACTAGAATGTAATGTAGATATCAAATTTGGGATCTTTGTATGATGATTACTACAGGGGTCGATTTAAACGGTGGCATGTTGGAATTCATAGCTTTTTATTAAAGATAATCTACAACATAACATAAATATAAGGGGCAGATTATGAAAGTGTTCAAATATGAGAATATAGAACGAGAAAACTAAAGTAAAGCAAGCATCAGTTCAAGTAAAAGAATTTAATTGAAGAAAGTAAATGGTACAGTAAGATTTCTAGATCAGCAGAAATTAGATATCCAAAAGAACTGAAGACAAACCCCTATCAGGATAAGTATAGCGGAGCAAGCATTGTTATAAAATAACACGTAAATATATATCTGTCATTCTATATAGGATTGTAACGATAATTTGTGCATCTATCTCTTCTTTAATTACAGTTTTCTGGAATTAAAGCGTCTAATTAAGGGCTGAAACTGCGACATAGGCCTACACTTAACATACAGGATGTTGTCGTTTAATCACACCGGAATTTTTAATTAAAAGTTGCCTATCCTTTTACGTTGGACATATTTAAATGATAGCATTTATAAACAGGGCGTGATACGATATTTAGTACCTAATGTACATTATATAATTTTGTATCAAACATTACGACGAAGGACATCAAAATTTACTGTCTTTTAAAATAGTAGATATCTACGTGATTAGGTTTTTTATTCTAAATGTTTATCGTTAGTGCTTACCCTGCATATTCGGTGGTCATGGTGGCATTTTGTGTGCAGAAAACTGCTGTTGTCTTGCAAATCTAAACATCTCTCTCCGTCCACCATGGAATCGCATCGATAGCACCATAGGTCACTGAGTTTTTCCGACGCTGCTTGCGTTTTGTGAACGAAACTGCTAACATGCTGGTTGGTACAGTCTAGAAAATAAAATAGCAATTTAATCTTTAATCCCAAAATGACTAATTGTAGATAATATTATATAGAGCGTTTATCTCAAGAAATTAACTCCTGTAGGTTGAAAGAATATGTTTCATTAATATTGATTCACTTATGGCTATGACATACTCATCATCATCATCGTCATCATAAGGTCGTCAGTCCTAAGATATTGATAATAAACAACCGAAGGTTTAGTTGGTTAATACACTGCCATCTGGAGTCACCAATCAGTGACAATTTCGATTTTTCGTTTACTTACTGAGAGGATTGAGGAGGCAGCCTAGCAGGAAGAAAACACCCAACGTTGGTTTTATTGTTACCATTTGCACTTCCGATAGTCACTTTCATTAATAATTATTCGTGTTGAAACTCATATTAGACTGTAAATTAAATATTTGCGTGCAATTTCGCGACAGATTCAACAACAACAACAACATATTGACCGACATTCCTACGGGAGAGCATCGCGCAGGATCAAAACGATCACGGGACAGAATTTCCCGGTGAAAAGGAGGCTACGATTTTGAAACGCGTACCAACAAGTGGAAAACTTAGTTCTCTGCCTACTTTGACCTAATGATTACTTGATGATGATAAATATATATAATTGAGTTGGATTATCGTAATTACAACAGGATTTTATTTTATCAAAAAGCTGCAATTTTCTCCATATGTTTTATCTAAATTTTTTTGAGTTGGTTTTAAATAAGTAAATGTTAAGTAAATCTCTATTTCATATTTGTTGAGCAGAACGATGGAAATTATTATCATCAAATGGACTCAAATTCAGACGATGTCCTTAAAAGACAATTTTTGATTTTATCTGGTTTATCTCCTAAAGACACAACTGAAATTAGTGTGTGTTTTTAACAAGACTTTACTGTTGAGCTAAACAATTTGTTAGGTAATCTAGACTAATTAAACTTGATAAAATTAATTCATTGTTTATTGAACAATGTGTCAAATAGTTTAATAATAACATTTATTTACAATATTCTTTATTTCCATGAACGAATTGAAGTATTTATTGAACCATATAGTGACGAACAAAAATTATGCAATTTTTTAATGAAAATACCCAGAGACTTGTACACAATAATCATACTGTCAACAGTCCAAACTGTATTAGGTACATTAACAATAGTAAGATGGAAATTTAATTTATTTATACACCAAGTAACTGACACAGTATTCTTGCAGTTGTTTCATGGTGCAAGCGTTGACACAACACTCCCGGGTCGCCTTCGCTCTTTTCCTTAGTTCAATGGGCATCCGGTACTCCATCGTTCGCTTAGGATAGGAGAAATAGGCCGGCAATTCGTTGTTTTCGTTTAAAGAATAATCCGGATAATTATCTCTGTAATCTAATAAAAATTATCTCTAAAACATCATTTCATAATAATTACTAAAACACACATGTGTAGCACTAATTGAGTAAAGCTAGTGATTGTTTAATTTGTGACCAATAAGACAATAATTGCATATTTATTTTTCTTCTTTTCTTTACTATATTCACTCAGAAGTATTAAATATTCAATAATGGTAGAGTGTGTCTTACCCATTGGAATCTTTTTGATTATTTTTTGTGTACAAAGGGCAAATAATGTGTTAGCAAATTTGGCTCCGCAATATCGTTCTGCATAGGGTTGTACTTGACCGTAGGATGATGCCAGGATTGTTGCAAGAACGCAAAACCAACATGATATCAAAAGATGTTTCATTATCTAAAAAGGAAATGGCTGGTAATTAATATCAAATAACGCTGCACTTTTATCTCAAAACATTTACCAAAAGGTGTGAATTTAGTAATCATGATTGTTAGTTAGTTATTGGATCATTTGTGTTAAAGCTCTTTGAAAATAAATTAAAATATTGATAGATAAAAAACACTTTTTTAAAAATAGTGAGATTTTTATTTCTTTTTATTGTCATTCATGACTACAATAATCAAAAGATTACTAAAATTTTTCAAATAGACTAGTCATTAAGTCTAATGTTACCTAAATGTTATTTCTTACCTGTAGGATGGGGTGGATGGCTCCAGGGACGTTGTTAAACTGATGATGTTAGTTCACCACTTGATAATTTACGGCAATTTACTGGATCTTATATACCCCCATGTAGATGATCAGTTGTTATGACGTGTTCATTGAAAAACACCTTGAAAACTGTTCTTTCTCGTTAATAGTTCATATATTGAAAACCTCCGTATAATACATACATTACATGTAGATTAATTTTAGTTAAGACCCACGCGCTCTGTGAACGCTGGTGTTACATATTTTCGATAACGAACACAAATTGCATTTATTATCATTAGATACCTATTATTAACTTTCTAGAAAACAAACGCCACTAGATTTTAATTGACTGGCATCTAGTTGAAATTTACAGAAAAATGTATTAAAATATTCGTCTTTTGACCCGTTGAGCGTAAAATTTTTAGCATGCAACGGATGTTGCGCGCGCAACAGTCAACTCACAACAATTGTTTCTTATTCAGGCGAAAAATTAATTAATAATTGACAACTATTCATAAATTTTATACATAAAGGTATCGTGGAAACTGTCTAAAAATGGAAAACAATATTTCTTGGTTTTGGCTGGTGATTTAGAAAATTAAGTAGTCTATAGTATTTCAATTGTTTCTTTTGTTTTTGTTATTTATAGGTGTTGTAGCTTTTTAATAAACTAAACATGTATTTTATTTTACGATTTCTAAAGGAATGCTTGGATTTCTTCTTAAATTTATCAAGATAATTTTCTCCATGTCAAAATTTGACAGCATCACGCTCTGAGCTTTCATGGAATATTTAATATTGTGTAACTACCACAGAGCAAACAACTTAGTTGTAAGTAGAAGCTTCTTTGAAAAGGGAGTGAATTACTACTCCCTTTTGAACTTTAATGCGCAAATGTCGGGAAATTCAATAAGCTGAGGATTTCTTTGGGAATTTTCTCGATGATGAAAACTTTACGACAAATTCAAGGTTTATTTTACAACGAAAGAAATCATTATTTTATTTAAAGTTTGGTTTCACAAATTAACATAGAATGAAAAATATTATCTAGAGGCGCATGCAGGGTGAAAATGTCATCAGGATTTTAATTCCTGGAGTAGGTGTTTTGAAATTTATTCTCAACACCAGCGATCAAATGTAAGATTTTCTGAATCGATTTGCTACTCTACCAATTGGGAATTATGCAAACAAACTTGTTAATTAATGGTTATTATATATAATCATCAGTTTATTACTTTTACCGTGACGTATGTACGTCTCAGCTGAGACAAAATGATTTCATCGGAAAACAGACATCGAGTTCCAAACGTTTACTAACCAGTTCCAGGAAGATCTCCTCAAAATTCAGTACGGAGTTCTCAGAATATCCCTTCATGCTATTCATTCGACAAATTTCCAAAAACATAACAAAAAACAACAGCTGAATTCGTCAGATGTACAACTTAATTTATTTTTCGTTTTGATACTTCATTAAAATTTAAAAATACAGCAATTAAGGAGGAGGCGGCATATGTTAATGATCCATTAATAATATAATGATCTTGTGACGGGTCACATATATTAAAGATGTACCATTATATTGGATCCAACCTGTAGGCAGGATTGTAGGTGGATGGCAGCGAATTTATCTCAAAACTTATGTTAACTTAATTTAGAATTACTTATTGGCGACACTTGTTGCTTCAATTAATCGAGAAAGACGCTTAATTAATGATCCCTTATAATCCTATTTATAAACTAAAGTATAAAATAGAGTGGCTAATACAGGGTTACCCGAATTGATGAGCACAGAGAACTGAAAGTTTGTCATCTCTTGCAGTAATCTGTAAAATCGACCAGGTGTAAACAAAATGTCCAATTTAAGAGGTCCTAGTAGATTCCATGAGACGTCGAGTCCCAAAAGGCACTGTTATACGATAAGAATCGTCCTCAGGTGCCAGGGAAACTTTTGGGAATCTGGATTGGGAAAGCATCCTCCTAACAGAGTTTCAAGGAAGAAGTATTTTGTACCTTTCAAAATCCTTTCAGTCTTCTTAAAAGAGTGCATAGTTCAGAAAGGATTAGAAGGACGATTTCTGCAGCTTCGAGAGTAACATACATAACGTAGAATCCTCTTTGGCTACGGAATAATCCGAGATCATCCTTATTTAATTTTAAATGCGTTCATAAATCCTGTTAAAATATTGCATGCCGATGGGTTGCGAGACAGGACGAAATATTTCAACGTGAAATACTAGAAAAAAGAGAAAGAGGCATAGTGGCAGAGAACGAGATGGAGTTAGAGATTTAAGAAAGGCTCAAGCTTGTTTTCGAATTTCATATAAAATTCATGACCATGTAATTAATTAAATTTTGGTTTATTTAGTTAATTCTCTATTTTTTTGTCCATTTGAGCAGAAGACTTGTAAACAGTAATCACAGCTATCCGAATGATTGACCTTAACAATGTACCAAAATTTGTAAAAAATATTTAAATGGAAATTTAATGACTGGGGTTTTAAGGATATTATGCTAAAAATTAATAGAAAACATGTCTTTTTAACTTAAAAACAAAAAAGCAAGCCATTTTGTATATTCTTTGTTTTCTGATCGACTCTGTGATAGACGCTTCGTCTTCTAGGAAATAAAATTTACTAGATACTTACCCAACTTATTTATTTATTTCCCAAAATTGTTTTAGTGGGAATTTTACCTATAGATACGTAATTATTAATCCCTTGTTTATTTTGCTGTTTATTTTAAAAGGACTCTAGTTAAAGAAGAAATAATTTGCAGGTATTTACTTTGTAAACCAAAAGCACACCTATTAGTCCCTATTAAATATTCATTAGGATCTTTTTGTTCCTAAGGATTTTTCAACAGGACAGGACTCAGGGCAATACTGGCTCATAACACATAGGTAAAGATTTAGGTTTCTACATGTTTAAATGGTTAAAACAATATGCAACGTTCATATAAGTTTAAATAAACATTTTAAAATTGTATAATTGGGTACTGAATGTGTAGAATTTAATAATGTGCATGATCAGTTGCTAATCCCTAAAGGATTATGCTAATAATTTTTATTGCTATTTAGTAATATTCATTTACAAAAAAAGAAACCAGTTAATTGAAATATTACCGTTGGTAAATATATTGGTTTCTAGATCCGTCCCTGTTCGGATGTAGTATTTTATCCTTTAAGCCTTTAAAATCCCGAGGAATAAGCGGGAGCAGCATGAAGCGGCGCATCTCAATACCGACCGGGACTCTCTACGCGCTCTCCTCCATCTCCCGTCTCTACACCCTTTCTTTGTACCCGCCTGAGTCCTGGTCAGTGTTCCTGACGCCCGCGACGCTCCCGTAACGCCGTAGTGACGCTCGATACGCTGTCTGAACGATGTGAACGATTCATTTATGCTACACTGCTGCTTATCACACAGTTATAACTGTAATTATTGATCTCAGTGTGTATTGAAAGCATCCGGGAATAACAGCAGCAACGGAAAGGTAAAATGAGCTGATTCTTAAGATAAGGGATTTTAGGGATGCAGGTAATATTTGTGCCCGAAATATTGCGCAAAATATTGTCACTGCTGCCATTTGTATTTTAAAAAGATTGAAATATTGAAGAGCATGTTTTAGGGTCGAAATAATTCCTGTTCAAGTGTAGAATTGTATAAATGGAGCAACTTTTGAAATACGAAAAGATTCAGAGTAATTCCTAACCGCCGTTTGGCATACCTGTTGATACACAAGATGAGTTTCTTGAAGAAACTACAGAATTACATATGTACAAAGAAATTTCGAAGGAAATGGAACAAACTATTACTGTTCAATTTTGCTGAAATCTGTAATATTTGTTTGCCATATCAAATAAATAAACGATAATCAAGAGTACATCAGCGAGATATTCATAAAAACATTTGAGAATTGTTTATAATATTGGAAAATCGTGTTGTCAGTTTTAAACAGGAGGACTCCCTACGGTCTTCAAATACGCAGATGTTAGAATAATTAACCAAAAAGAAATAAATTCAATTAGCAATAAAAGTGTTTTACGTGTGATTTTAAGCCTCAGGCATACTAAAATAAATTGGAAAGCGATTCTAAAAATAAAACGAAATGTGTATTATACAGAAACTTTACAATTTATTGTTTCTTCGTTTCGTCATTGTTTCGTTGAAAAAAAAGGCTTCGTTATATTTTGTTTGTCGAACATTAATATTTGATGACAATAAATTTTTGTGGACCTATTGTGAAAATCAATTGAAATGAAAGCGAGTAAATGATTTGCTGAAACCTGAATTTCAATTTAATTTTCTTCTGGCACCGTACAAAATCAACCAAATAAATATTTGAGTTTATAAGGTATTTACAAAGTCGGTAATTTATTCGCAATCAACAATCCCATTAAATTCTCCCGAACTTTATATCTATTTAATAGAACGATCTCAACCTAAACTATCAAGTGTGAAAAACTATAAGTATTTGTCTTTACACTTTATAATTTCAATGTTATTCAATTGATTCTTCAGCAAGGTTTACTAAATACTCTGATACTCATGAATATGGCAAAGAAGTCAATGGATTTTTGTATTTTTTTAAACCCCTTTATTGTAAAAGTAATAATTTCAGTGCTCATTTTATAGTGAAGCATTTACATCAAAGCTGTAATAATGAAAACAGAAAATAGATAGAGAAAACCAAGGAATGTTTACATTAGATAAGTTGATGTTTACGAGATGTAGATGTGTAATTCGTGAAATTTTTTGATTCAGTGGTTCAGTTTATGAGCTGAGAGAGCTAATAAAAACATGGTGCTCGATTTATAAGCGAAAATGAAAAATTGATGTTTAATTAAAACGAAATTGGATAAAAAAAAGCACTGCTGCTGCTGTGTTGAAGGGGACCTTTCTATCGATTTTCGTTCTCCTTGAAACGACCAAAAAACATTTAGCGAAAGGGCATAGTTTTTATACGGGAAAAGTTTCTCTGCCGAAAGTCCCGTATTAATCAGAATCCCAACTACAAATCCAGAACAATTCATGCAAAAAGACTCAGTTTAATGTTGTAGGTACACCGAACGGTACATCTGACGCTTAATTCAAGTTACCCAAAAAACCTTAATGAACAACCAATGAGAATTGTCTGGTTTTGGCTTTAGGTCGAAATTTCAGAACGCATTTACATTATTCATGAAAACATTTCATACGAACGGTTCACTTTGCATGGTGTTCGTAATGGAATTATTTCTGTGAACGCGGAATATGAAATTAATGTGAATCTCATGAGATATGGTTAAATGAATAAAAGTTGGCGCGAAGTCCTACTTAATGAGGCACTAACGCAGTTCACCTAATTGAAATGAATTATTGATTGGTTTCCATAAGCGTACGTAATGCACATTTACATGTGTGAATGTATGTGTGTGAGATATATTGTGTTCTCCTGTCTTCGCGTTATCGCGTTAATTAAGGCGTTTGTGCTATCGCGCACAACTCAGTATAACAAGTACAACATTTCTCGAATAATTACTGAGAAACCTGCAGCTTATGCCATAGTAGTTTACTTTACTGCTTATTATTTCTGCCACTTTATTTGAAGTGAAAGAAGAAGAGAGAGAATAATTGACTTAAAACGTACCCGGTGGTAAACCTAAATTACATACGTTATCAGAATGAGTACCAAGCGAGTCGAAAATGAAAACTGAGTTGAAATGAGTCGAATTCGTTATTTGTCTTTAATTTTCTGGTTTAAGAATTGTTTCCATTTGTTTTTGGCAGTTTTTATTGTTCCTCCTGTAATACTTACACCTCTTAGAGTTTCTCCTGCTTTATATTCATGAAATCTTGCCGTAGGTATTATTTTATTTGATGGAAATGCTACAAAGGAATGCGGGAAAAGCAAAAAATTCAGGCACTATATGACTGTCTTTTTCTTATTACCTTTTTATCTCTGCACCGACAGCACTTTTCTTATTGGTCGATAAATACGTATTAGATATCTCAAAGAAACTCACTAAAATTTTTTCTGAATACTTTTCTGTTTACGACCTTATTGCCAAGTTTCACAGAAGTGTAATAATAATCAATAACAATAATGAAAATTGTTTTAATTTTATCAGTCATCTATTATTTAAGTATAAAACACAAAGCAATCTTTTATACATTTATTAAGGCATATTTTTTGTTAATTAACTACAAAATTGTATGGTTTCCTTTCTAGTGTTTTGAATCGATTTGATGTTTTGTTTTTCCATTTTTCCGCTGTTGTATGTTCTGTTCTAACCCCTGAAAGTCCTTAGCTGCTTTTAAATCCACTTTAAAAGATACATGCGAGCTACTTGCAAAACATCCGATTTCTTTTCTGTATACATAACCAAAAAGATAGAGTTCACGAACAAGTACCTACTATATCTTTAGAAACGGAAACGTTCAAATTATCTTTTAGGCGTCTTTCTCAACATTTATTTTCCTTTTGACACAAATATTTCAATAAAGTTTTTCGTAAGCCAACTAATCGGTCATTTTTCTTCACTACTGTTTGGTAATACTGATTTAGTTTAAACATTTTTATATTTTTAAGTAGGTGTCTAAGTTAAAAATCGATAGCAAATATGGTGGCAAAGTCTACCGATTTCAGGGACCTTCCCCTTCGACGTAAATTCAATTTGCGTACCCTAAATTCGTTTGGAAAATACAGCTTTGCATCCGTCTCGGGAACATTAAATTTTAGCTGTCTCTGAACGCACCGTCAACATAAATGGGAGCAATTTCTTTGCTTTATTAATAAGAAAAAGGAAAATTTTGTTTTCGGGAATATCTACTTTTTAGGTACAACTTACTAATCAATATGAAAAGAAACGGCGAATACGCGTAAAGTCAAAGGCTCCGAGTTCGATTCCCGACGAGAGTGTGACCACGGCAACGAATTTTTCTTCACCAACTTAAGCTAATTTATAGTTGGTATAAATGGAAAATGAATTTTCACATTAATATTAGACATATTAACCACTATTAAGGAAAATATATCAAAGTGTTTCATATATATATTTATTTATTTTTAGTTCAGATAACGATTTTTTTGTATATTTATATATTTATTCTTCGGCTGCTGGTTCTGGTTGGGTTTGACCGCCCGTAGGCCGGTAAACGTTTGTAGGTCCTTCAGGAAATATATTCATCCTGTTACACGGTATAATCTCTCGAAAAGTGGCAAGCTGATCGGAAGATATGTTGTGAGGCTCGGAGAATATGATCCATTGAACTGGCTGTGTAAACGGCGGCGTTGTCAACGATCCATTGTAAGTATAGTAGTTGGTCGTGTCTTTTCTTATCAAATTTCGAAGGACAAAGTTAGGCACCCGAATCGGAGCATTGAACATCTGCAGAGATTCCAAAATCGCTTCGCAAACGGTATCCATTATGGAGTTGTTCGTTTCGGAAATCTGAAATAAAAAGTAGTGGTGGATTAAAGAGGTTACAATTTCCCCAAAATACATTCATGGGTCCCTCTGAAAGATTACCGACCCAACGGAAGTTGTTTCATGCAAGCAGTGTAATTAATATCAAATATGGAAGCTGTCCATAAACCATATGACTCAATATTAAGGACGGAAGGGTCTGATATTTTGGAAGGGGTGGAGGGGAGTTGATGCCTGAACAAAGTGTTTTGTTGTTGCCAAAAAAATCGTTCAGTGACAGGAGTCCAAGGGCAAAAAAATAGTAGATCATATAGGTGACCGAAGTCAAATAGTGGATAAAATAAAGCTATATGGTTTATGGGAAAACCATAACTGGCATAATATTGTATATGCGGATTAATCTTCCTTATATGAAAAACATGCCTTTGGGGACCACCTATGTTATGGCAGGAGTTAAAAGTCAAGTAATATCAAAGATTTTGTGAAATCTACCTACTTTCTGTAACCAATTAGTGAAAAATTTATTGTTTAGTATTACCTACATTAAGTCTTCCATAATCTTTTTGCGAGATAAAAATGCTTCTTATCAGTATACGTGTGTTTTTGAACCCCCCAGACCAAAACAGTGCGTGCCGCCTCTGAACGGAAAGAACTCACACAAAAGGACAACGATCAAAACAGATTGAATACAAAAATTTCCTCGATGTAGGACAATTTGTTTCACCGGTTATGGGTGACGTGAATTGGAGACAAAACCTGCAAATGGCGTATTGATTTTGTGTGCTGTTGCCTGAGCGCAAACATTTTCATGAAAAACTATTTTTATCAGTGGACTGTTTAAAAGAACATAAACATTTGTCGGTAGCTTTGCGGGATTCTCTCTAGGGAATTTTATCCTAGAAATGCAAAACGCTCTTCGTCCACTTTAAACGCTCTTTTAAAACAATCGGTTTAATGTTCACGACCGACGCTAAAAATTTAACACAACACATAAAAGACATATCTTGCAATTAATTAGTGAAACGTTTTCTAAAAATTCATTTTGTAAATGTCAACTGTTCCTTCGATTCTGGTTGAAGTTTTATAATAAACAGTTTTCTTTTATTAATTGTTTGTTTTCGACTGCAGAACTAGATAATTAAATGTTCATCGGATGTAAAATATGTCAGAATGCAATGAGGCATGTGATGATAACGTAACAAGCAACATTGAAGAACGCGTTGAGCTATGAACCGCTCCGTATTCTGAAGGCATTTCATCGATCTAACAAGAATTGGCATTCCGAAGAGGAAAAGGAATCCGTAGGAGAAATAACTTGGATTTATGTATGTACAAATAGGAGGTTAGAGGGAAAACAAGAAATTTTCGCTTGTAAGTTATCTCTATAACATCCCCGTAAAATTGGTAAAATGTTGGTGAAAAGCCAGCGTCAAATTTGTAACTTTCATTAGATGTCATGTATTACATGCTGTATGAGAACTCTCAGCCTACAAATACCTTTCTAACACCAAAAATTGATTGCATTATTGGAAAGCTCGTGTTAATTATAAATTACTAAATACTGTAGCGAGCACGAGCGTGTTTGTGTGCGATCGGGCACACGTGTGCATGAACGGCTTATTGATTCGCCGACTAGCCGCAGGCGCCTTTCTTCGTGTGCGCCGTATTTGTAAATGTGCGTGTCGTACCTGCGTTCTGGGAAAGCAGTTGAACAGTTCAAAGAAAGAATAAACGATCCGGATGTTTCTAGAGGCTTCCAGAAAGGAAACAAAAGAGTATTTAAAGGAAGAGACGATCGTCGAGGAAAAGTAGAAATAACCCACGAACATTACAATACTATTAGTAAAAGATCTAGTTTATAATAAAAATACTACTTACCTGAAAGATATAGCCTAAAACAAGTTGACGAGGGGCTCCTAACTGGTCAACCCTTTTTAAACGATAAACCACATGCATTTCTAACGCATAGTGTTTTCCTCCGAACGTATGCTCGGAACCATCGTCATCCTCTTCACCCCAGTGAAAATGGACCTCATTCATTTTGTAACAACCCTTCAAGGGTCCACCGGAAATGTTAAATTCGGTTGGATTATCTATTACCAACTTCACTGCGAATAAAAAATTAACGAATGATATCTGTCACATGTTGCTGTTACTTGATTGTCCATCATACCAGTGTGATCAGTACACATTAGGGTCGTATTGGACACATAGGGACAGTTCCTGCTCCATTCTATTGGTGGATAATCGGCGGTTTGGACACTAGTATCGTCTATGTCTATGGGAGATGCATGTCGCATGCATTCTACAAATAAACGTCACCAAATAGAAGAAAATCGGAAAATAGTATGCTAATGATGATTATGACTACTACAATCGACTGCATATCGCGAATGACCATCCATTACGTCAGTGATGGACTGTGTCTTTGCAAGTCTTTGTTGTAAAACCTCATACTTTTATTAAACCCTACATTTGTCCTAACTAGCAGTAGCGGCTGTGATGAGCAAAGGCAGATCATTGCTCCGTGCAGCCGTTAACATTACACTAGAGGTAGGGAGAGATGTATTTCGAGCGTCTTCAATGGCATATAATACAAAACAATTGAGCAGATGTTTTGTTTGCTCAAGAGCTTCAGTGGCGTGCTAACAAATTGTGTACCGTTGTAAATTGAATTTTGTCGCTGTTTTAGTGGACAATTAAGTGAAAAGTCATTAGAAATTTAGAAATTTAGTGTTTTAGTGGACAATTAAGAGAAAAGTCATTAGAAATTTAGATTAAATATGTTTAGGTGTTTGTTTACCATTTCCTTTGACGTAGGACTTGCAACCTTCTCCTTTGGGAATACTTTTCCGTCTGCTGGCGCACGTCGTATAGCCGCAGTTGCCCTGATCGGGTCGGCCAGGTTTACAACCTTCTTTTCCTAAAAATAAGAGTGAAAGAAAAAGCTCCGTGGACGTTATTTGGACACATACCTTCAGCATTTCCAGCAGTTCCTGACGACGGATCGTCGTTATCATCATTACCATCATTACCATCATCTGAAAAGTTCGGAAAATATTGTGGTGAACATTAAAGTATTATCTGTGTAAGATTTTCTTAACTGTTCATCATAATTCCCAGTTTTCTAAGGACTTCTTGCGTGACGTCACACGAGTCGTCGTCACAACCGCCTTCATCACGCTCATCTTCGCATGCAGCCCGACAACTCCTGTCGTTGCAAAGAGGTGCAACACTTATTTTTTCTGAAATAGTTTAAATGAAATGGTTCTCTTAACCATTTTTTTTTTTCTATTTTCTACTTACTTTTGCAGCCGCACGATTTCTTCTTTCTTTTTCCGCCGTCGCTTTCCAACGGTTTGCAGAAATCTTCGAAACCTAAAAATCAATTGTTATTTAAGGACGTTATAAAAAGCAACTACTTGAAGGTAGATATTGACCGGTTAGAGCTGTTGCCTCTTTATTTACTCCTTCTGGGCATATATTTTCCTCATTTATCGCTTCATCGCACTGATCTGTATTCAAAATAATTCTGCATTACGTATTTTAATTTAATATTACCTAACGTGAATTAGTAATATTCAACTTTCAAATTAATGAGAAAAAGTTGTTGTTACCGTCACACCCTCGCCGGGAATCGAACCCGGGATCATAGGCTTTACGTGCCAATGCTCTCACCGTTATGCTACGAAAGGTGACAGTAACAACAACGACAATACGCACCTGTTAGACTAGCGAATCGCTAATTTATGTACACCTCAATATATGTATATGAAATAAGTGCTTTGAAGAAATTCATTCTTTATACTTGATAGAGGTTAATACATTATTAATGTGAATTGATCCTCTATAGAATAAATTTCTTCAGTGATATTTCGAACGAATTTATCAAAATCAGAGTGCAGAAATGCAGTTAAAATTTCACTCACTTTTATTACTAGGGCATGATTTGATTTTGCTGCCTCTACAGCAGCACTGTTTTTCTGATGATGTCATCCAAGAATCTGCATACAAAACTGGAATAAATAAATAATATGAAGGCAACATTAAGACGATAGCAAAGTAAAATTTACCTTTTCTTGACAATAAGTCCTCTAAATTTTCATGCTCGTCATTTTCTAAATATTTAAAGTAGAAAGGCTCTAGTAAAGATGCACAGTACGTTTCGATCTCTGTAAAAAGGTCTTCATTTTTAATGTAGCTTCATTCAGAATGTATTTGTACTTTATCTGATAATGCATTAATAAATAAAAAAGCGTTATATCTAACAATTTTTATTTCTTTATTCATGTGCTTATCGTATGTTTTGTTACTAATTAAACCCCCCTGCTGGTACACCACGACGTGCAAGTACCGCTGCACTTAAATCCTTCTGCACCCCTTCTTCCCCCTGCTGCATTCGCGTCTGATCTTGTTCCTCTTGCAGGACACGAATTTTCGCCATCGTCATCCATAACGATGCATTCCGCTGCTACGGGACACGTACTTGAAGTACTAACTGCTTTATCTCCATAGTCAATCCCTGCGCCTGCTTCTGCTACTGTATTAGCACCACCTTCATCGTCTCCATCAGTTACTGGGGCTGGTGCTGGACCTTCTTCGGCTAATTCCGGAGCGGGTCCTGTTCCTGCATCTACATTTTCCGTAGCATCTTCGGCGCACGCCTCCGCTGTTGCTGATGCATCTTGTCGATCACACTGTGAAGAAGTTTGGCCTCTTTGAAGTCCGCTTTCCCCATAGATAAATTTCTTGCACCAATCGCAATCCAGGACGTTCTTTATCTGGTCGTATTTGTCACAAATGGGACAGTAGTACGGCCCTTTGGGGCACGTGGTCACTCTTTTTTCTTTCTTCTGAAAAAGTGAACAAAGGTTCGAATACTGCCCCGTTCCGGTGAACATTCCAAACCCGGTGGTCGATGTGCCTCGACTTTTTGTCGAACACTTGCAACCATTTTCTGCAAATAAGAGGAACATCGTTACTTTTTCTAGTTTAGAATATTACTTGAATCTATGGGTCTATTCCAGAAATAGTTAGTACTTGTACTTGCCTATATTCATTGCATTATTTCCCACAAGATCACACACACTTTAACACACTGAAGTAAATTAGTTTTATCTTTAAATCGTCTCATTTTTAGTCTAAAACGAGTTCCAAAGTTCGTAGTACCTACACGACTGCACTGTAACTAATAAGATGGTAAGTTATTTTCCACTTTGAATCGTTTTACTTCTTGTGCATAATTTCTGGATTAGACCCGCATGTCTGTCTCCAGAATGTAACACTTACCGTTAGCTTTACATCCGCTCCCGTCCGATGGTCTCTTGTTTTTCTTTTTCAGTTTTTTTAATTGGAAAGCGTTGCACCGTAAAGGGGATCTTCTATCTGCAATCAGATTTTATTGTCAAATTGCAAATTGTCAGTGATCTTTTTTACACGAAAATACTAGAGAGTTTTGTTACTTATTCGCTTAGTTGGAAGCGATGTGAACAAGGTAGAAAATATGCGAACCTATTTCCATGAATTAATGCGCTACGGACACTGAAATTTTTCTTAGTTTTCTTTTTAGGGTACTACGAAATGTGACATGAAACGTTATCTGACAGCCTGCTTGTTAATTATTCTTTTTAAATGAAATATCATATTACGCCAATAGTTTTTTTGATTGGTATAGAAATCATTGTCATTATGTCGTCAGTCTTAAGAATGGTTGGACACGCACCTCCACTCTTTCTTATCCTGAGCTAATCTTCGCATTTCCCCAAAACTAGAACAACCCACATCCTTAACTATTTGCGAACAGTCATCTAATATATTCCTTCTAAGTCTTGTTTCTGTCTCCAATTGCCTACGACTAGACCTTCATACCTGAGAAGGTGTCCTACCAACCTATCTCTCCTATTTCTTATTGACTTCCATAGAGTCCTCTGTTCTCCTATTCTTTCCAATATCTCTTCATTTCTAACCTTCTCTATCCACGGCATCCCCATCATTCGCCTGTAACACCACATTTCCATAACCTTTTCTTTTCCGCCGCGCCCACCTTCCAGGTTTCGCACCCGTACAGCGCCGCATTACAGACATACAACTTTAATTTGAATTTCTAAATTAACCGTCTGCGAGCATAAAAGTGACTTCTTCTGCTTCCTTCTGTTTTATATCCTGACTTATTTGACTTCCTAGATACGGAAAATCAGCAACTTCTAATTTTTCGTCTCCTATTTTTATATTCGCTCTTTCCCTTGCATACCAGTATTTTTGTTTTATTTTCATGTAATTGTTTTGTCAATACCGCTTCCATTTTATTTAAGGCTATGTCTCATACATATTTTAGTTTATCAGAGCAAAATTAAGCTACGGTTTTAAATTACAGACTTTGAAACTTCTACTTATAATTAATTCACGTAGAGACATTTAAATTAGGTAGCATTTTTAAAGGACTACTCTAACTTTATAAAGTGATGCTCTAATAATTCTGTATTAAATAAAATTTCGCTAATCTCGCCGTAGCTGTTTCCCAAAGTATTTCTTTTGAAGTATTACCTAAAGGACTAAAATAAAAGACGTAGTTTTTAGTTTACAATTTTTTTATTGCTTCTTAAACCGATTTGTCCTCAGTTTTGTTACTGCTTTTTCGACTGCATGAGCCTACACATTTATCTTCCTGGCCAGCAGGACTGAAGAGATGCTTGCAAAAAGACGAGCACAATACACCTTCATTTATTGCAGCGTATTTCTCGCAGATCTCGCATTTGAACTTCGAACAGTTACTGTTTTCTGTTTCTGAAAACTTAAATGTGTAAATTGTCCTTTGTAATCACAAATATTCGTCGAATATGCTACCTTTGACTTCTGGCGGCGCTTCGTCGCTGCACGATTGCGAATCCCCTTTGCGTTTTTCTGCACATTTGTCACAACCGCATTTACCTGCAAATCATGAACAGTAAACTGGGTGTGTGGACTCACATTTAGATATAAAATCCTACCCGATGGCATAAATAAAAAACTTTAGAAACACACGAAAGATTTTTTGGTTATTTTTTGTTTTGACGATTTATATAACACAGCCAACTTATTCTTTTTGATTTATTAAATAAAATATGTTGTCAAAGATACTTCAGAATTTCATGAACCTTAGCATTTAGTTGTTAGATTTTTCTCTCTTGTTAGAAAATTACAAGACCAAGCTATTGTTTTCGTAATGTATTATACGAATGGTATAGTTAGGCCCATGGGATTTTAAACTACCTATACTTACGTTACATTGCATAGAAAACTTTTCTTTTGTTTAACGGTTGAATTGGTTTACAGTTTTCGGCCATTTCGGGTTTGTAATCGGCGCATTTTTTGAAAATACACAATTGTTTCGGAGACAACAGGAGTTTGCAAGGACAAAAAAGCCAATAGCACGTGTCGAACTGCGGTTCTGTTAATTGCCCTTTGTAAAACAGATAATTCTTGGTAAACTTCTCGATGAGATCACAAAACCGGAAGGGTTCCGACGGTACAAACTGGTTGGCGTATTTAATTGATTTGGGAACCGTGTCTAGAATATTCTGTAATGCCTCATTTGGAATATCTGAAAGCTATAGTTTTATTTAAAGATTACATGCCTTCCTGTGTATTTTCTCATTGCTACTTTCGCTTGAACATTTCAAATCTAAAAATTCTCGTTTTTATAAATCAGTGTCACATTATTTTAAAAAGAAAAAAGGTCTGATGTAGATATCTTCGTTAATTAAATTCTGATTTTGACCTGGCGTGTCGTCACAAGACCGAAAGAATAAAAATCATATTAAATATGACTGCCAGCCATTTTACGTCAGGGATGCGAAAACGCCGCTCTCCCACGCTTTAGGAATTAATTGCAAATTCTGCTACATTGTTCTCCAGCTACTCTGCAATCTGAACTCGCAAAGAGAAAAGCTGATTTAATTGAGTAATCAAACTAAAGAACAATGGGGCCGCCCGACAAACGAGAAAAATTCGAAAGAAGAAACGTTGATCACCGAATGCATATAAAAAAGCACAGTTTGTTTAGAGAAATATATCTTTTTAGATGAAGAGAATTTTAAAAAGTTTTTATTCAACCAGCAACAGTTTTATTTTGAAAGTTTTACTGCTAGCTCTTGTTGAATTCATCATCATAAGGTCGTCAGTCCTAAGACTGGTTGGACATGTACCTTCACTCTTTCCTATCCTGAGCTAAACTTCGCATTTCCCTAAAACAGTAATCTAATCTAGGTCTACCTCTACCCCTCCTAACTCCTGTTTCTGCCTCTAATATGTCTCTGACTAGACCTTCATGCCTGAGAAGGTGTCCTACCAACCTATCTCGCCTATTTTTTATTGACTTCCATAGAGTCCTCTGTTCTCCTATTCTTTCCAATACCTCTTCATTTCTAACCTTTTCTACCCACGATATCCTCATCATCCGCCTATAACACCACATTTCGAACGCTTCTAACCTTTTCTTTTCCGTCGCGCCCACTGTCCATGTTTCACACCCGTACAACGCCGTGCTCCAAACATACACCTTTAACAACCTTTTTCGAATTTTTTAAATTAACCGTTCGCGAGCATAAAAGTGACTTCTTTTTATTGAAGGCGACCCGACTCTGCGCTATCCTCTGCTTTATATCCCTAGTACTCCTTTCGTCCTGACTTTCTGACTTCCTAGATATCTAAAATCGGCCACTTCTACCAATTTTTCGTCTCCTATCTTTATATTCGCGCTTTCCCTACTTTTACTTCCCTTGCATACCAGTATTTTAGTTTTACTTTTATTTATTTTCATACAGTACTGATCTGTCAGTACCGCTTCCATTTTATTTGAAGCTATCTCTAGGTCCTCCTTGCTAGGCGCTAATACTGCTATATCATCTGCAAATTTAAACATACTAATCTTTTGCCCTTGCACATCTATCCCTACAGTTGTACTGTCTTTAATGATGTTGATTGCGTCTTCGATGTATAGATTAAAAAGTAGCGGTGACAGTGTGCATCCCTGCCTGACTCCCTAATATTTACTTCTCTACGTTGCTGCTCCAGCTCTATATTTGCTTGTTGCTCTTTATACAAACTAAGTATCACTCTTCTATGTTTGTAACTCATCCCTACATTTTTAAATATATTTAACATCTTGTCCCATTTAACATTGTCAAAAGCTTTCTCTAAATCTACAAATCCTATGTACGCACTCTTTCCTTTTTCTATCGTTTTCTCTATTGCTACCCGTAAAGCTAGAGTGGCCTCCCGCGTTCCTCTATTTCTTCTAAACCCAAATTGATCTTCCCCTAATAGTTCTTCCGCCCTTTTTTCCATCCTCCTCTGTACAATTCTAGTTAAGATTTTTGACGCCTTGTTGAATTAAGAGAAAATAATTCTGTCAGGATTTACCTCAAACATGTAGGACACTACAAGAAAATTGTCCGCTTCCTTTGCGTCCTTACTGTCATCTTCCGATTCTATTTTCTCATGAACAACTTGCATTTCAACCGGATAGTGTTTATCATCGAATGTGTGTTCCGATCCTTTATTTTTCCTTAAACTCCAGTGGAAGGTGATATTCCTAAGTATGTAGTTGGCAGTCAAAGGACCTCCCCAGATAAATGATTCTTCCGGTTGGGATAAATAAACCCTGACTATAAAAGAAAGTACAAAGCAAATCCTTTTTTCTTTACGTATCTCTAAATCGATCGTCAACTTACTGGCATCCTCGTCGCATAAAACCAATTGGGAAGAAAAACTCTCCCCGTACTCAGCCGACCAATTTAAAGGAGGGTATAGCTTTGGTTTCGCCCTTAAATGTGATATATTAACAGGGGAAGGTCTTCTCTTTTTTAGTTTGCAAGCTGCAGTCATATATTTCCAAAATAAAGTCTTGAGGGTATTATTCTAGATGGTTCCTTCTTTTTAGGCTTTCAATTTCACAGTTCAGTCTGATACAAGTCGTTAAGCTGCAGATTAGTAATTAATATGAGGTATAATTAACTACTTTTATTATGGTTAAGTATCTAAATAAAATACTGGTATGAAAGGGAAGAAAAATTAGGGAAAGAGCGAATATATTGTAGGTATACAGGAAGTCAGATAAGTCAGGACGGAAGGAGTAGTAGGGATATAAAGCAGAGGATAGCGCAGGGTCGTGTCGCCTTTAATAAAAAGAAGTCACTTCTATGCTCGCGAACGATTAATTTAGAAATTCGAAAAAGATTGTTAAAGGTGTATGTTTGGAACGTGGCGTTGTACGGGTGCGAAACATGGACGGTGGGCGCGGCGGAAAAGAAAGGATTAGAAGCGTTCAAAATGTAGTGTTACAGGCGAATGATGGGGGTAGTGTGGATAGAGAAGGTTACAAATGACGAGATATTAGAAAGGATAGGAGAAAAGAGGACTCTACGGTGTCAATAAAAAATAGGCGTGATTGGTTGGTAGGACACCTTCTTTTGAAGGTCTAGTCATAGACTTATTAGAGGCAGAAACAGGAGTTAAGAGGAGTAAAAGTAGACCCAGGTTAGATTACTGTTCGCAAATAGTTAAAAATGTGGGTTGTTCTAGTATTAGGAAAATGATGAAAAAATAGGACGATTTTGATGAAGTATCTTATCTGTCATAAGCTACTCCATATTAGATTAGAAACTAGTACTGGTTAAAGGGCTGTTTTATAGTCTTTGTAGTCGAAAGAGCTACACGTTTTAAAGTGAGATTATTACTTGAAATAAAACAAAATCCGCTTCGAGTCGTTCATGAAATGGCTATTTTACGGTATCACTGATTTAATGAAGGCACTCGACATTAAAAAGGTAGCTTACTTTTCCGCTACCAAGATATAAAACTGGTAATAAAAGTACGGAATCGAATGCTAAATGTGAGATAACATTTAAAAGATTTAAGAGGGACAGTTTTTGAAAGAAACTAAACGCCAAATAGTTCTTGGTAATTAACAGCAAATGGTGAATGCGCCTGGCAGTGCGTCATGAAAAGCCTATAACAAACGAAAATTTAGGTCAATGTCACACTGTTTCTCGAAGAAAAACAAACACCACAGTAAATACAACAATTTTATTTACTTACATACATTCTATGTAGTACGGTTTCTAAATTACAGGAGATAATTTTTTTTTTATTACATGAAGTTTTAAACACAAAATTTTGACTTTTACAGTAAATATTATGACATACAAGTAACTTTTACTATAAAACAAATGAATTGACTTATGGGATATGACAATAAGGTGGTAAAAAGTGCCAAGCTCGGAGGTCACAAGTTCAACAAAACATCAGCACAGCAGTTACAGTATGCAAATTAAGGTCCTTAATTCTCATTCAATCAGCCAGTTGTAAAAACACATTAGGTAACATGGTTAACTGCAGACCTTTTGTTCTTCAACCCCCGTTTGAAATTAATTGAAACGTATCTGGTCTAGACAAATAAATGAGACAATTTAATGGTACTAAACTATCTTAAAGCAAAAAAGAGACACGCAAAACTGTAACGAATAATGCTCTTGTTGTTCTGATTTAACTATTTCATCGTAGAAAGGAATAAATAAATTTAAAATTTAATGTACACTTCGAACGATTTTAAACCCCCTCCTCCCATAGTGAAGGGTAAAATGTTGGGCTGTCCAAAATAAATTTAGATTCTAAATCAATTACGATTACGAAACTACAAAACAAAATAAAGTGTATATTTTCATTTACAAGCCAGTAGGTAGTAGAAGAAATAAGTTTTTGTTCATCATCATCATCATAATAAGGTCGTCAGTCCTAAGACTGGTTGGACACGTACCTCCAGTCTTTCCTATCCTGAGTTAAACTTCGCATTTCCCTAAAACTAGAACAGCCCACATCCTTAACTATTTGCGAACAGTAACCTAATCTAGGTCTACCTCTACCCCTCCTAACTCCTGTTTCTGCCTCTAATATGTCTCTTACTAGACCTTCAAGCCTGAGAAGGTGTCCTACTAACCTATCTCGCCTATTCCTCATTAACTTCCATAGAGTCCTCTGTTCTCCTATTCTTTCTAATATCTCTTCATTTCTAACCTTTTCTACCCACGTTATCCTCATCATCCGCCTATAACACCACATTTTGAACGCTTCTAACCTTTTCTGCTCCGCTGCGACCACTGTCCATGTTTCGCACCCGTACAACGCCGTGCTCCAAACATACACCTTTAACAACCTTTCTTAATTTGTTTTGTTATTATAAAATAATTCTTATTACTGTGGTGACAATTAATTGTGTTAATTATTATGGAATTACAAACTTGATGCCTTTTCTAATTGTAGCTGAATAACAATTTAAATTTTATTATTGTTTGCTACATTTAGGTCCGTTTACAGAACACTCGAACTCCCTTATTTACAGTTAACATTTCATTTGTTTAGTGCTGTTTGAAGTAAACTTTTCGAATGAAAATTCATAGGAGCTTATTAAGAAACTTTGAGATCAGTTTGTGTACAGTTTACACTTTATAAAGTTCGGTTCTGTTATTTTTTTTATATCTTCTCGATAAGAGAAGAAAGGAAAGCATAATTATACTTTTTAGACTTGAAACAGTCTGTTACAATTAAAGATTTCTACAGTACAGTATAAAGTACTCTCCGTCATCATCATTTTCGTACATTTATCTGTCTAAAATTTGAAATCAAACAATTTTCCGTGAATTCACTCACTCGCACCTCGTCGGGTTCGCCGCTTGGGATTTGCTTTTGACATAGGAAAGGGAATCGATATTAGGTGCTACGATTGCTGACGCTCCTACTGATATTAAATTAACTCAGTCTATCATCTAATGGCGTTTAGACAGGATAATGAGGAATGTTACAAAGCGTTTGCTAACTTTCCCCAAAAATAATCCGACAAAGATTAAGTCACCGGGTTCCATCTTTCTTATACTCTACTGGGTACCTGGCGTATTACGTAGTAATGGAAACATTTTTAGAGTAGCTAATTCTTTTGTTGTTTTTGTAGCACCATGAGGAGAGGATCGACAGTTAGACAAACTTCTGAGCCACTCATTGTAGTGGAAGAGTCCGAATCAACGGAGGAAGACGAACATAAAAGACTTAGTTCCTCTACTGACCTGTTTCGTCAATATGACCCAAATAATCTTACAGAAGATTCGCCAACAAACCCTTATCTGCTGTCGCCGTGGAGAGAGCCGCGAAAGCACTCCTTACCAACCCCTCAATGTAGCGGTAAGTCCGATGAAAGTTAATTGCTCTTTATTTGTTCTTTCTGATGGGTTGTTCGTAGGAATAACTGCCAGCCAAGTTCGTCGTTTATCAGAAAGGGGTAGTGAAGATGGTGCAGCGAAGAAGGCCAGAGAGCAGGCCTTTCTGGCCACTCTCCAAAGCAATCCCGTGGCATCCCCCGGAGGAAGAAGACACTCTGTGGTAACGATATCTAGATTGCCTACAGGACTTTTTGGAATGGGACCACAAAGGAGAGAGTCCGTCGCTGCTTTTCCTTCTTCCAGTGGAGCTATGAACAGGGTCCTGCCCAACAGGAGGGAGTCCATAGCATGTCCGCCCTCCACAGAACCCATTGGAAGTCTTCACAAGTTACAAGTAACAATATTATGGTACGAATAAGTTTCTTACAAAACAACAACGACTTGTTTTTAGTTAGACATTATGGATGATATTGTAAAGGCCCGCAAGGTCAGAATGAAAATGTGGAACACGAGCAAAGAACGGGTGTGTGAGGTTCAACCCCTGGACGAAAATAAGGGGGAAGTACAGAGATACACCCACGCCGCTGGACGAAGATTTTCGGAGTTTACCGGTAAAATGATATCATTAATTTCCTTTAGGATCCCTGTTTGAATTAAGTGTTCATCTCTCAGGAACAACGTTGTCTCCCTTGCCGTCTGCTTCATTCCGACGAGCTTCGGAGTTTGTACCAAACACATCGTTAGCTGCTTCCAGTTTCCAAAAACCGGGCACATCGTCCGGGATCGTATGTTCCAATACCGATCTGATATCCATTTTGTCTTCTTTGACATCGTCAGCCACAGAAATCAATCGAATTGGTAAGTTGCCACCTAAATCGAGATCGTCGGTCAGGTGATAACGTAAAATTTTAAATTTCCAGAAGAATTAGATGAAACAACTGCCTCGTCGACGCTGGAACAGAGAAGAAACAGACTGAAAACGAGCAGATCGAACAGTTTTGACATATCGATTTTGCAGGGAGTGTCTGACAAGAAAGAAAAGTCTGCAGACCCGACGCAATCCCAATTGGCCAATTGGTTTGCAAAAAGACATCAGCCCATGTGCAACAAGAAACAACAGAAGAAGGAACCCGTTCCTTCGAAAATCACATTCAAAGAGGGTAAATGACAAAACACTGAAGACACCCCAAATGCACACTAAATTAATACTAACATTAACAACGAATACGTAGTGCGAGATGGATAAAAACCTTTTTGGTACAAAATTACAACTTATTTTAATTGCACACATCTGGAATGATGAATTTTATTAAATTGGTCAATTGTTACTGTTGATTTAGCTTTCCAGTTGAAGTCCTCGTCCCCCAAGTCTACGTCGGACAGGAACAAAGTGGTTTGGGATGAGAAGAGTGGTTCTGTTGTGGATGCTGAGGTGATCGGTAATGCCATCGAGGTGTTTCTAAGAAAATCTGGTCCCGAGGGAAGCCAAGATGACAAGAACAGTAAAGGGGCCACGCCCAAAACAACAACAACAGCAGCAACAACAGCAAAAGTGACTGCAGCCAAATCGAAAAGCACTTGGATATCGAATAAGGACGAAGGAGAATATACCGATTCCTGTGACTCTTCCTCGATATGCTCCACGTTAAAGGATCTGTTTGTCAAGTAATTGATTGCACAACCCTGGTAAGTTATTTCTTTTTGTTTTATTTTTTGGGTAATGTATAGAAGGCAGCGGATTAGAAATTTTAATCCATAAACGTCCCACATTAACATAATGTTTGATTTTATTGGTTTCGTTTAATGTATGATGTGGAGACTCACAAGGAGAGTATCTTTTAAAGTTCAACCCTTAAAATGGGGTGGTTCAAAGCTGGTATGATGAAAATTCTATTATACTGTTTCTTAGAAAATAGGAGTGAGTTACCATATCATATCTAATCAGTTATTTTTACATATCGTTGGAATATTAAAGCTAACAGTTACAAGATAGTAATTTCATAAATTGTAACGTGTACGATAAAATTTAATTACATATTTCTATATATTTATGCATAAAATTAATTTGAATCGATATCAAGATGGATTTATTGTTACATTTAGAAGAAACATATCTCAGTAGGTACTTATTTATTTATTATTATTTAAACAAAGCAAATTTCTCGCATCTTCTAATTCGCTGCATAAAAATTTATATTGTTTGATGTAAATATCGCAGTTTGTAGATCAAGATTATATTTTTTTGTACAGAGATTATATTACGTAAACCCTCCTTGTTTATTGCAACGGAATAGTCTGAATTATTTTTCTTCCATTAAAAAGAGGCCGGACAATGTTGCAAAGATACTTTTCTATAAATATTGGTATATATACATACTTAATCTTTCGTGTTGAATGAAAATTTTTACATTTTTTAATTTTGTGTTCATGAATCGTTTTGAAAACGTAGATACTGAAGTCCTGCTGTGTTAACAAAATAAATCCTTTAGATTTTGTACTTAATTTAGTGATAAATTGAACTTTTAAGTNTTTTTTGGTTATTTTTTGTTTTGACGATTTATATAACACAGCCAACTTATTCTTTTTGATTTATTAAATAAAATATGTTGTCAAAGATACTTCAGAATTTCATGAACCTTAGCATTTAGTTGTTAGATTTTTCTCTCTTGTTAGAAAATTACAAGACCAAGCTATTGTTTTCGTAATGTATTATACGAATGGTATAGTTAGGCCCATGGGATTTTAAACTACCTATACTTACGTTACATTGCATAGAAAACTTTTCTTTTGTTTAACGGTTGAATTGGTTTACAGTTTTCGGCCATTTCGGGTTTGTAATCGGCGCATTTTTTGAAAATACACAATTGTTTCGGAGACAACAGGAGTTTGCAAGGACAAAAAAGCCAATAGCACGTGTCGAACTGCGGTTCTGTTAATTGCCCTTTGTAAAACAGATAATTCTTGGTAAACTTCTCGATGAGATCACAAAACCGGAAGGGTTCCGACGGTACAAACTGGTTGGCGTATTTAATTGATTTGGGAACCGTGTCTAGAATATTCTGTAATGCCTCATTTGGAATATCTGAAAGCTATAGTTTTATTTAAAGATTACATGCCTTCCTGTGTATTTTCTCATTGCTACTTTCGCTTGAACATTTCAAATCTAAAAATTCTCGTTTTTATAAATCAGTGTCACATTATTTTAAAAAGAAAAAAGGTCTGATGTAGATATCTTCGTTAATTAAATTCTGATTTTGACCTGGCGTGTCGTCACAAGACCGAAAGAATAAAAATCATATTAAATATGACTGCCAGCCATTTTACGTCAGGGATGCGAAAACGCCGCTCTCCCACGCTTTAGGAATTAATTGCAAATTCTGCTACATTGTTCTCCAGCTACTCTGCAATCTGAACTCGCAAAGAGAAAAGCTGATTTAATTGAGTAATCAAACTAAAGAACAATGGGGCCGCCCGACAAACGAGAAAAATTCGAAAGAAGAAACGTTGATCACCGAATGCATATAAAAAAGCACAGTTTGTTTAGAGAAATATATCTTTTTAGATGAAGAGAATTTTAAAAAGTTTTTATTCAACCAGCAACAGTTTTATTTTGAAAGTTTTACTGCTAGCTCTTGTTGAATTCATCATCATAAGGTCGTCAGTCCTAAGACTGGTTGGACATGTACCTTCACTCTTTCCTATCCTGAGCTAAACTTCGCATTTCCCTAAAACAGTAATCTAATCTAGGTCTACCTCTACCCCTCCTAACTCCTGCTTCTTCCTCTAATATGTCTCTGACTAGACCTTCATGCCTGAGAAGGTGTCCTACCAACCTATCTCGCCTATTTTGTATTGACTTCCATAGAGTCCTCTGTTCTCCTATTCTTTCCAATACTTCTTCATTTCTAACCTTTTCTACCCACGATATCCTCATCATCCGCCTATAACACCACATTTCGAACGCTTCTAACCTTTTCTTTTCCGCCGC